TTACTTTCTTATTTTCAAATTAATTTAATTTGGGATCGTCAGAGTTATTTGTGTAAATTTTTGTATTTACTCTTTCTTTTAGTTACAGTTTATTTAATACTTTTTGTAATTAGTGTATAGTGTTCGTATATAGGTAAGTGAGTCTTTCTTTAATATGGGGGTCGATCCCCCTGACGACCCAGGAGGAGGCTCTGGGCTTCCAGTAGCCTATAATGTTGTTATTGACGACTCATCAATGGACACTGAAGGCAGCCTTCCTATGCCTGACCGTAAAAGAGTTAAACCCCGGAAAATCTGCCGTCATTGTAATAAAAAACGTAGGAAAAGAGATGGCAAACCAGTCTCTTTACACTATTGTCAATGTTCTGAATCTGAGGAAGAATGTTCCAAGACATTTAAATTACCCATTGTTGCTGATGCCAATGCTAGCATTGTTGGTGCTAATAATAGTACTAACAATGTCGTAACAAATGTTGGTGATTGTGTTTCAAATTCAAGGCCGCAGGGTGGTAGGAAGTATGAAGTGACAGATTTAGCCCCATACGTAGTACATGTCCAGAAAGAACAAAGTACAGCTGATGATCGTGTTACGCTCCATCCTGTGCAGTTTGGAAACTTTTTAAAAAAAGAACTCTTTTAAAAACATTGTAAACGGAAGTTTGAAAAGAATAGGTCGCAACAGGCTTAGTTTGGCTTTCTCTAGTGTTGCTGATGCGAATAACTTTGTTGATGACCCCAGTCTTGCCAGTCACAAATTTAAAGCTTTTATTCCTACTTTCAATTTGACTCGTATGGGAGTAGTGCGTGGTGTCCCTGCCGATTGGACAGATGATGAAGTTCTTGAAAATGTTTCAGTGCCTATTGGGTGCAGTAAAATTATTAAAGTTAGACGTATCAAGCGGAAAACTATTGTAAGTGGGACTGCGATATTTAATAACTCGGAAACTGTAATTTTCACCTTTGATGGACAAGTTTTACCAAAGCGCATTTATATGTGCTATACTGCTTTATCTGTTGAACTGTATATATATCCTACAATACAATGTTACCGTTGTTGCCGTTATGGTCATACCAAAATGCAGTGTAGATCTAAACCTCGTTGCCTAAAATGTGGTGAAGACCATACTGCTGAAACCTGCTCAGTACATGTAGATTATGCTTCTTGTTGCCTATGTTCCGGATTCCATTTTGCAAATAGCAAATCCTGTTCTGAATTTGCACGTCAAAAAGAAATTAAAGTGTCCATGGCCCAAAGTAGTATATCATATTCCGAAGCATCAAAACATCACCCTCCAATTTCAAGATCTTTTGCTGATGCAGTTCGCTCCTCTCAATAAAAATCTAATGATAGTAGGCTAAACAATAACTACACAGTTTCAGCAGAGGCTCATTCCACTAATAAATCTTATAAAAAAAAAACAGTGTTTGTTCAACCACGGTCCCCTCCTAAAGTAGCGGGTGGGTATAATCGTGCTGCACATGATTCATTTGCAAACAATTACAACATACCTTTAGCTTTCCCTAATGGTTCAGCACTTAAAGCCTCGTCTGATACTAGTCCACAGACATCTATCTCGGACATTATTATAGCCATTGTAAATTTCTTGACTAAATCAAATATGATTCAGACTAAATTTGAACCGTCCTACGTTGCCAATGTTATTCAAAATTCTGTTTTAAGTCGTCCTCAATATAGACCCAGTAATTCTACAGTGGAACTGTAGAAGTGCCTCCAGTAAAAAATCTGACATTTTTTATTTAATAAATGCACTTCATCCCTTTATGCTTTGTCTTTCAGAAAATTGGCTGAAACCTGGCTATCCTTTCAAAGTAACTGGTTATTCCACCCTTAGAAAAGACAGATCTGATGGGTATGGCTGTGTCGCCATAATCATTAAAAATTCTCTAACTTACCAACTCTTACAATTACCCACTTTAAGTGATGGCATAGATGCTATAGCAATAATTGTAAATGGTATATGTTTCGTATCTATTTACATTCCACATCCTTCAACAGCTTTATTTAATGAAGTCAACAATTTATTTTCAGTTTTACCAAAACCTTTTTTAGCATTAGGCGATTTTAACTGTCATCATCAATCGTGGGGAAGCTCTTCATGTAATAGTTTTGGAGATTTAATGTTAGATATACTTGACTCTCAAAATCTCTGTATTTTGAATAATGGCGCTCCTACGCGTCTCACAGGTCCAGGTGAAGGATTAAGTGCGCCTGATCTCTCTGTATTCACGCCTGATTTAGCATCCTCGCTCTCATGGCATGTTCATACTTCTTCCTGTGGTAGTGACCACATTCCTATTATAATTTAATTTCCTTTTATTCGCCATATGCCCACACAAAAACCCAATCCCCGCATAAAGTATAGATTTCCTCATGACTGGACTGTATTTTCTCAGCGAGTTGAAAATAGAACTTCTTCACTTCCATCTGTTTCTACTCATGAGGAATCTCATTGTTCAGATTCTCTTGTTAAAATGCTTCTTGAAGTTGCAGATGAATTGTTTCCCATTAGAAAAGGTTATCCAGATAGACTTCCATTGCCTCCTTGGTGGGATTGTGAATGCACTGAGGCTATCAAGAGAAGGAAGAAAGCTGAAAGAATTTATGGTCAGTACATGACTTCTGAAAATTTTGAAATTTATTCACAAGTCGCACGTAACACCCGTAAGCTTTTAAAAAAAAAGAAATTTGATGGATGGAAGAAGTTCTGTGAATCTATATCTCATGACGTTAGTCCCGTCTTTGTCTGGGAAAAAATTAGAAGGTTTCGAAGCGCATTTAATTCTTCATCGACTCCCAATTTTCCATCTGAATTAGCAAATCAATTTTTGGATAAGTTGGCTCCAGCTTCAGCACCTAATTTAATGACTTGCTCTATTCCTTCTTTTTCCTCCGGAGACCACCCTGTCCTTAATTCTTCCTTTTCTCTAAACGAATTGAAAGGTGTACTTTCTCTCGTTCAGTACAATCTAAAGCTTTAAGAATTATTCTGGGAGCAATGAAGTCGAGTCCCATCAATGCGTTGCAAGTGGAGTGTGTGGAACCTCCTCTTTAATTGAGACGTCAATACTTATCCGATAAATATCTGCTCCGTTGCGTGCAATTTACAAAACATCCTCTTTTGTTACGACTTCGATGCCTCTCAACTGACGCATCAACATCTCCTTATTGGACTCATAAGACTCTTCCTTGTCTGGTTATTAGTTTCCGTAAGTGTTTGTCTTTGCAAACTCCAATTCATCACTCCCTTTGTTTGCCTCTTTTCTCTACTAAATACGAAGCTTTAGTTTTATCTCTGGACATCCGTTTGTCTTTAGGTATCAATAAGAATTTTATTGAAAACTCCCATACTTTCAATTTCATTAGAGACAGGGACTTCCAATCATGGCACTGCATTTTTAGTGATGCTTCTAAGCATGGCAGCGACAGTGTTGTTGGCGTTGGTGTGTATCATCAACAATATAACATTGTTCAAAAAATTAAATTGCCTCCAGAAACTTCTGTTTTTACTGGAGAGTGTTTCGGTTTATACAAATCAGTCGAGTACGTTCTCTTAGCTAAGCTAACAAATACTGTAATTTTTTCCGACTCTATGAGTGCTCTTCAGGCACTGTCTAGATTTCCTTTTAAAACGCGAATGCTTTGCCCAATAATACTCGAAATTAGAAATTTGTTGTTAGCTTGCTCTTCGAAAGGCTTGTCTGTAGTTTTCTCCTGGATACCGAGTAATTCCGGTATTCATGGAAATGATCGTGCTGATCAGCTCGCAACTGATGCTGCTGTTGACGGGGACACGGCGTACTATAAAAATTATAATCACGATTTGGCAACCCTTCCTATACATTTCCTTAGACATGATTGGGGTGTGATGTGGTCTGAAAGCAGTAAATTAAAAGGTAAATCTTATGCTTACATTCAACCTTCTATTCCTGTAAAACCATGGTTTTCGTCACTTAAATTTAATAGATTGACTACATCTGTTTTGATTCGTATGCGGTTGGGTCATGTTTGTACTCCTGCACACCTTGCGAAATTGAACATCGTTAATAGTGATTTATGCGAATGTGGCCAAGTTGGAGATTTGGACCACATATTTTCAAACTGCCCTAAATATGATTATTCCGTACTCTTCCAAAACCTTATCCAATCAGGTACACCTCTTCCTACGTCCATTTCGGTACTGTTATCATGTAATGATTCACATATTTATAAGTATTTATGTAACTTTATTGTAGAAAACAATATAAAAATTTAGACAGTTCCTATATCATTAATATAATATTATTATTATTATTATTTATTGTCTGTTGTACAAATTTCCTAACATGAAATTCCTCTCCCGATCCGTTTTACCCTAAATCCGTTTCCAAAATTCCTTAACATACGAAAAGGTTTCCCTGTTTTTAAATGAAGTTAATTTATCTTGTCATTGGCTTCAACGCTGACCACGAAAGGCCAAAAAAAAATTCTTTGTTGTCATCATTTGTTAACATAAACTAGAGATGGATCTCTAAATGCTAAATTCTTATAGCGCGCTATTTAAAGTGCTAATTTATAATTAAAAAAAAAACTATAATTAAAAAATAAATGAAAACGATGAGGGATTCACTCTGGGCGTTTTGGAGGGAAAAGTGTCGTTTTTATTTTGACTTTCAATTATTTTGTGAAATCTGGATTAAAGTGGAATAGGATAGTGCCTTAGTTGTACCTTAATCGAAAATTAAAACGCGAAATTATACGAATCTCGAACTAAAATACCCGTATCGGTCCGTTCTAAGGAATCCCGGAGTCAATCCGTGATCCAAGCATGCCACCTCAAATTGCCTATCCTCTTTGTGGCGGCCATATTTACAGAAACAATTAAACTTCATGTTTAGGCTGATTGCTTTGCGAAAGCCTTAATAAATAAAAAAAAAAAACAAACAAACGATGACATCAAAGAATTAGAAAACGTACTTTTGTCTATGGGTGCAAAATAAAGATGGAAGGTGGAAGCGTTGAAGCCGGTGGAGAAAATCATTTGCAAAATGTTTTATCACAAACAGAAATCGCGAATATACCCAACCCGATCGCGGTTAAAATAAATAATTATATAGATCAGAAATTTGGAGAGTATTTGACCTCCAAGGCTCTTCATGAAACTTGCAAGTCTCAAATCGGTAAGTACCCGGTGTTTCCTGCAACGCATACAAAGCTTTAGCTCGAATTCTGTCTATTTTACAGCTATTACACAAACCACATTTGATCTCGCATAGATGGTTAGATTTGTATCATTATGCAAGTTTACATTGTTCTATACGTGGTTTGGATGCCTTCGTAATTTTTTGTTTTGTTATACAGTGGAGGTAGACAAATATAACCAATAAATTAAGCGCTAGTTGTTGAAGTAACTTACGCAAATAACCTAATTCTGTTTACCAATATGTAATGTTTACCAATACACCATTCCCATTATTAAAAATAAATAGATATAATTTTAAATTACCCCATTTTAATTTTAGGCAAGAACTTTGGAATAAGTACCTAGAATTAATTTGGAGTATTATGTAAATTTGAGAAATAGAGGGAAGCAGGAGCTTGTGGGACTCTGTTCCGCACTAAAGCCGGAGCTTGCGGGACACAACTCCCTACTCTACATGCACTTAATTTTTTATTTTATTACGGGATTTTATGTCATTACTTCGGGAGGTTGACCTCGAAATATTCCGTGTTTGACAAACTAATACAACTATCGAAAAAATGCTCTTTACTTAAAACTAACAGCCTTGATTAAGAAACTTTTTATTTTTATTAAAAAAAAAGGAACAGACTTCCAAATTTGCTTATATGTACATACAAACTGAAACTAAAAACTTAACAATCAGTTACGGAAAATGCGCGAAACCGAATTTATCTCCTAGATTGCTACCCTTAGAGATGGAATATTTTTTTTCAAATTTAAATGGGACCAATATTGAGGTACCCTCTTTCCAACAAAAAAAGAATCATCAAAATCGGTTCATAAATGCCAGATTACTCACACAACATACGTGTACAAAAAAATGCAGTAAAATTCAGAACCTCCTTTTTGGAACTCGGTTAACCTTGCGCCAATGATGTTAGGTCATATTAACCTGAGGCAATTTACAATGGGCATATTTTTGTTTTATGTGATTGCACGATTTCAACATTCGAGTAGCTGGACGTATGTCCTGTTACTTGTATAGTTAGTTGTATAACCCTCCTCTAACCGACTTGCTTGTGCACTAAGTGTGACGCCGTCTGTGCAGCCAAGTAACACGTGTGTTAAGTCAAAACGGGTAAATATGACCCAGTGTCAGAGCTGGTGTGGTATTTTTGTGGTTGACATTCATAGGTTTATTTGGTGTTTATAGTTAATTCATCTTATTTCTGTTGCCTATTGCGTGCTGACAGACAATTTGATCATTTGGCACCATTACGTGAACTTTCCAAAGCATTTGTCGAACAATCCCAAAAATGTATTCTCGGGGTAAAAACTGCACTATGGAAGAGATGCTGGTGGTTTTAGAGGACGACGCAAATTTCGGCAATATATACCACTATACCCAAGAGATATCAAGTAATATTCATTCAAAAAGGATAAGGAAAACATCTCATACATGTCATGCATGCTAGATTTACATATGCTACCTCTACACCCAGATAAAATGTATGGTACTGCAATAGTTGCAGCAGTTCCATATTTCTTATTGAGGAAGTAGAAGACTGATTTCTAATAAGTCAGAGTGATCTCTCTTTTAGTATGTAAGAGTATTATTTATTTATTTATTTGATTATAGACGAGGAGCTTTCACTGGTAGGTCTACATCACACAGTGTTGAAATTTATATCTTTGTTTTAGTTCACTTTTTTAGCACTGATTAACTCTTTTATTTTATTAGTTCCTATTATTATTCAGAATACTTTAATAAAATGAAACACTCAACAACATAACATAACATACACACTCAACAAAGCCCCGCCCCAAGGAAACCCTGAGTCGCGGGTGCCATGGAGACACACATAGACAACCTCAAATTACACCCAAACTCACGAGATAAATAAATGTAGGCCATACAAATATTTCTCCTGGCCCAGGAATCGATCCTGGGACCTCTGCGTTGTCCAGCAGTCACAGTCCAGCATGGTAACCGTTCGACCACAGAGGAGAAAAGAAATATCAAAGTTATGTTTTCGTGGTTGATTTTGCATGTTTTATTGAGAACGCCAATAAAATATTTATTTACACAATTATTGATATTATTTTTATTGTACTATATGTCCAGAGAACCCTTATTTAATACGAATGTATCCAAATTTAGACAACTACTTTAATTTCATGAAAAAAATATCAATGAAATTCGGGTCACAAACACCCGAATTGTTACTGGGTAACCAGTAGTAATTCTACCAGTTCAACAATGTGGATCTGTGTTCATTGTTCTATTGTCTAAGTGTCTCCTTACTTTTCTTTGCCGCAGAGTTCAGGCAGTCAGTGGGCAGGCGGAGTTATAATAATGTTGTATGTTAGTTCTCTAACCTGTGTTTTTATTTTTGTTGTGTCCAGCGATCCGGACGGCGTCGGTAGAGTCTGATTTACGAATAGTTAGTCTATGTAAATTTTAAAATTAGTTTTTTGGGGGTTCGATTTCAGCTGATATATTTTGAAGGCTGTTTCATTCAATTCACAGGTAAAGTTTATTATGGTGATGGTTTATTATTTATACACAATTAAATAAAATATTTTGTCCTTATATTATTTATTAATTATATCCCATTGGCCCATTAGTAATTATATCCTTTGAAATGAAATAGTGTTGGACCAAGTGAAAATATAACGTTTGTCGTTATACCGATCATTACACACAGTTGTAACAGCAGAGAAAACAAGTAACGAGAATGGACGCTCTCCGTCCCTCCCTAGCTTTTGATACCGCACCACACCCCGCACATTGACGATCACATTGACTGAACGACAATAAGGCTATCGGCAAACCCTTTACGCGCACATTGACGATCACATTGACTGAACGACAATACGGCTATCGGCAAACCGTTTTCGCGCTAGTACGGCTTTCATATTGGGATATAGTTTTCATTGAATAATTACGAAACTTGTACGTTAATATATAGGGAGGCCGGGATAGTGACGTCCAAAAAAAATTTAGGTGCCTCATATTGATGGGTGTCCGAATCACCCCCATGTATGTTCCGCGATTTTTCGTAGTTTTCGAGTTACGATTGTTTTAATGGATTTTTTGGAATTTTCAACCGGATCGGCTCTAAATTTTTTTTTCGTCAATTTGTACAACAATTTTTCCGGTTTTTCTTGTAACTCAACCTTTATGAATTGTACTATAACGCACAAAATAATCGGCTTCGTAACATCAATGGAAGCTATGAAAGTTATGACTCAAATTGGAAAAATCGCGTTCGGGAGAGTCAGATTTCAATTTTCAACTTTAAATTTACAATGTAATCCGGCAATTTCATAGTTCCTGGGTAACTTTAAAAACTGCGCTAAACTCTAAACTTCCATATTAATACAAACAAGTAGTACTTAATAGGCCTTTATTTGCTGAAATCAGCCTTCAAAGGTACTGAAGTTGAAAATTTCTATGATAGTAATGTAATTAAAAAAATGAATTATTGCCTATTTTATCTTTCCTAAGGCTAATTATGGTAGAAAGTGTATAAAGATAATAAAATAATAACTGTAGGAAAGCTAAGATCTGGACATTTTAAATTACCCAGGAACTATGGAATTGCCGGTTTATATTTTTAGGTTACATTTGAAAATTCAAGTCTGACTCTCTCGAACGCGAATTTTCCACTTTGAGTCAAAACTTTCGTAGCTTCCATTGATGTTACGAAGCCGATTATTTTGTGCGGTAAGGTTCATAAAGATTGAGTTAAAAAAAAACCCGAAAAATTCTTGTACACATTGAAAAACAAAATTAGAGCCTATCCGGTTGAAAATTTCAAAAAATCTATTAAAAAGATCATAATTCGAAAACTACGAAAAATCGCGGAACATACATGGGATTGAGGGGTCAATGTGAGACATCTAATTTTTTTTTGGACGTCACTATTCCGGCCACCCTGTATAATATCTTTTATACGTTACTATTTATAATGGCCGGCAGTTGTGCTCTGTACGGCTGTTTATCATCATCAAAACGGGATAAAGAGAAGAGTTTCATTTATTTTCCGAAAGATGAAACGAGGTAAGTAAAAAAACTTATGTCTGAGATTCATTCAGTTATTGTTTTGTTCATTTATTTAGTGCAGAGTAATATATATATACTACAGATTTATTACATCAATATAATGACACAAGGGTTCTCGAATTTTCAATTTGTATTGCCGATAAATATGTAGTGAATGTAATTCTTAACTAAGTAATGATAAAGTTGGACACGCGATTTCAAATATCTTGGTTAACTTATTCATATAAGTATCTGTCCAAAATACATTGACATTTTAGGTGCGTTTATATTTAATTTTCAATAAACGTTCAGGAAAACCCTGTGTCGCGGGTGCCACGGACACACTCATAGACAGCCACAAATTGCATCCAAACAGACCATACAAATATTTCATATTTAACATTTCAAGTACTTCTTATAATTGTGAAACGAGAACACCATCGAGTACATTTTTTTAATAATTTAATTCATAACAGTTTTATAATTACATATTTTTACTACTTCCATCACACCTTTGAAATTTAATTTCAATATAATTTATAACAAACATAGCCTGATTTAAATTATTCGGCAATTAAACGTGTTGGGGCATGAAAAATAATAGTGCTTAGAACAGTATTATGGCTTATGTACTTTATAGTATATTTAAAACATGAAACATTTAAGTAACCGCGTGTCACGCAACAGTGAGCAAGAAATCTAATTTTCAAATCTTTTCGTCTTTACATAAACGTGTGTATAACAAGCAGACATTTTTATATAGTATTGGAAATTTCGTCGCGATGCATACGCGTGTCTGCATCGATTCGAACGTGCGTATGCATCGGTTTAACCGGATTCATCGCCTAGTGGCAAACTAGGGGATTAATCCGGTTTCGTGCACTTTCCGGTAACCGATTTAATAGAACTTGGCAAATATATATGCAATTCCACGAACTTTTGAGGTCGGTTTTTTAGTACTCTGTACTGAAATTATTAATGACGCAATCGCGCGTTTGCATTAACAATAAAACAATTTGCTGGTTAAAATAGGACCTTAGATTTTATGATGACATTAAAGGTGATTTTTTTTAATGTTACAGACGAGAAAGTCGCAACCTTAGAAGCGACCATTGTCGAACTAACAGCCAAGTATGAAGAATCATCTTTTAAATTGCGCACTGCCGATGAATCCGTTGCGGAATTAACCAAACAGTTGGAAAACTTAAACGTGGAACTTGAGAAAGCACGCAATAAAATTTTCCAGCTAGAAAATGAAAATATTTCACTCAAAAGTGCAAGAGACGCTGCTGTTGATGAAAGAAATGACTTGACTCGTATCCTTCAGAGACGTGATTCCGAAATCGAAAGACTAACGGCTAGTGAAGCTGCCTTGTCTCAACAACTTCGTGCCGCTATAGATGCTAAATGTGAGGCGCTTGCTTTGAATGATGAAATCCAAAGCAAAGAATTGTCTCTTCAATATCGCGAAAAGAGAATTGAACAAGAAAGGACCTTGCTAAACTCTCAAATTGCTGGCCTCACGGAAGAAGTAAATAGGTTGACGTCTGAACTGCAAACTGTAAGGTTAAATAACACCAGCAGACTTGTTAATTTGGAGACGCAGTTAGCTGAAAAGATAGAAGAATTAAATGCAGCAAATGAAACTATTAACCAACTAAATGAGGTTAAGAAAAATTTGAATAATCGTGCAGAAAACCTCACACAGCGTCTTGCAGAACAAAGAGAAATCGAAAATAAAATGACTGAGAATTATAAAAAAGAACTTGATGCAAAAACTAAACTGGCTGATTTATTCAAAGCCATGCACGATGACGCCGAAGCCAAAACTATGGAGTTGACTGACGGTATTACAGAGTTGCAGAAATTGCTAAATGAGGCCACAGAAAAATATGGCGAATTAGAAACAAAATACAAACAGGCTGAGATAGATCACGAAGAATCAATAGAAAAGAAAAAAGAAGTTATATCATCTTTGAAAAGTGAATTAGAACATGCCAATGATTTACTTAAAGCGGCCAATGCTCATAATTTGGATATGGCATTAAGTGATCTGGCTCCTTCTGCAGCCACAGCAAGCAAACTCCTCAAGTCTGGAATGTCGTTAACTCAAATATATTCCCAATTAGTGAAAGTAACCGATGAACTTTCCCAAGAGAAGGAAGAAAACAGACGTCTCAATGCGACAATCAACACAATAGTCCAAGAGCTGGAGGAAAAAGCGCCACTTTTACAAAAACAAAAAGCAGAGTACGAAGAAGCTCTCGAAAGTAACGCAGCTTTAACTCAGCAGATAGATTCATTGGTAATTGAATGCAGCAGACTTCGTGACGACTACAGCGAATCTTCGAAAATTGCCAATCACTATAGTCGAGAGCTCAGCAGACTGAAAGGTGAATTAGCTGATTTGGGAAGACAGGTGTGTTTCTTGTTAAAGGAAATAGAACATAGTCGAGGGGGGCTTTTACCGAACGGAGACCACGACTCATCTCAAACTGCTTCTAACGCTACAAATTCTTCTGATCTTAGCTCGTCACGAATTATATCAAAGACGTTGGTCACTTTCAGTGATATACAAGAGTTGCAAGCGAATAACCAAAAATTATTGCGTATGATTCGGGAACTCACTGAGAAGCACGAAGAGCTTGAGCGAAACAAAGAACAATTCGAAAGCGGTGAAATGCAAAATAAGATAGAATCATTGAAAAATCGCGTTTCAGAATTGACAGAAGCTCAAGACCGTCAAACGAAAATGGTGAATGGTCTTATTAGACAACGCGACATGTTCAAGAAATTATATCATGATCTTATGAAAGGTAAGCGTCATGAGTTGTCATCTTTCGTATTAGAGGGAGCAGATTTAGAAAAAGGCGACTCATTTGCAATGGAAGCATCGCCTGAAAAGCCATCTAAACCTGTAGGAAATACCGATCCATCTGTGTTTGAAATAAAATGGAAGGAAACTGAAAAGCATTTAGAACTTCTTAAAGAGGAATACAAAACTTACAAAGAAGAAAAGGTGACCAATGAAAGAATGTTGTTTGAACAAATTGACAACATGAGACAGGATATAGCAAAACTTACAGCGGCCAATAGCAAATGTGCTTCCACGTCAGAGTACAATAATGAGCGACTTAAAATATTGCAGACTAATATAAATACGTACAAAAAACAAATAGCTTCTCTAGAAGATAAAAATAAGGCATATAACGCCACTATTGCGAAACATGAGGTATCTTTACAACATTTGAGAGATGAAGCACTAAACGCTCAGAGTAAACTTGCTGCTGCAGAAATACAAGTTGAAAATTTGAAATTAGAATGCAAGTTGCTTAAGGATACAGAAGTTCGTCTTCAAACTGAAAAGGAAATGGTCAATCGTGAAAGACAAGGTCAGTCTTTGCTATTAAAGAACTTGGAACTTATAAAAGCTAGCCTTGAACGAGTAGAAGTTGAAAATCGTGCCAAAATAGAATCAAGGCTAGATGAAGCCACCAGAGAGTGCTCAGCTTTGAGGAGAAGACTTCAAGAAGAACAGGACCGGTTTAGGGAACTCGCAGCACACCTTGAACGTCAAACAGAAACAGCAAAATCTCGTATGCAGGAGGAGAAGGATGCAGCAGATTCAATGAGAAAAGAAATTATACAACTAAGACAAGATTTAGCCGAAAAGAGTAAATCGAATGAAGAACTGGCCAAGAAACTGAAAGTAGCCCTTTCGCCTAACACCGATGGCTCATTTGACACTATTAAGAGAATTAGGGAACTCGAGAATAAATTAACGGATAGAGATGGAGAAATCAAATCTCTTCAAGAACAATTAACCGTGGCCAAAGAACATATAAAGCAATATTGCGATATCGCTGAAAGTTCAGAAAAAGAACTAAAGACATTAAATAGTGAATATGAGAAATACAAGACAGAAACAGAAGCTAAGCTGGCGGAATATTCTCAGAATCTACAGAAACTTGAAGATACATGTTCTGAATTAGAAGCAGAGTTGTCGCTTCAAGGTAGTGGTGAACATTCCACTAGTAATATTTCTCTTAAAAATGAGTTAGCCAATGTCAAAGAACAATTAAAGGACACATTGACTAATTTAGAAGGTTGCCAATCAGAACTTGATAGTGCACGGCGTGAAATTTCCAAGTTATCTGAGGCTGCTCATAACGCAGAGGAAAAGTATAGTCATGAAATGATATTACATTCTGCCGACATTCAAGCTTTGTCGCAGGTCAAAGAGGAATTATCAAGGGCTCAGAATCAAATAAACGAATTAGTTGCTTTTAAGAATAATGCTATTGAACAAATAGAGTCAGAAAAAGCGTCTTGGGCTGAAAGGCAAAAGCTATTCATTCAAGAAAATGAACAATTATCGCAGAGATTCCAAGACTTGAACAAACAAAATGCATTATTACATGACCAAATTCAAGCTCTTGGTACTCAATTGTCAGTTTCTCATGCATCTAGGTCTAGGAACGAGAGTATGAACGATTCTGCCAATGAATCTGCAATGAATGTCTCCATTGGTGAAGATGAAGGGAAATCCTCAGATCAACTGTTCCAAGTTATTAAATTCTTGAGGAAGGAAAAGGATATTGCTATGGCCAAGTTTGACATACTACAAGCTGAAACAATGAGACTCAAGTCTCAATTAGAGATAACCGAAAAACAACTAGATGATGCTAAATTAAGTCTTGCAGCTGAAAGGGAAAGGGCTGAGGTGAGCATTGTAACTGTCAGCAGGCAGTCTGACATTTTGAGGAAAGTGGAAACATTGAATGCATTGACTGATAGCAACAGGATTTTGAGAGAAGAACGTGACAGCTTGGCCGCGAGGGTTGAAGAACTTACAGCTACCACTAAAGCTCTAGAAGAACAACTTGGACCTTTGCAAGAAAAGATTGGAGACATCACAGCTAAAAACGACACTTTACAATCAGAAAATACATCTTTGAAGGCTGATTGCGCAAGGTGGCGTACCAGAGTAAACGCACTAGTCGAGCGTGCGAACAAAACGAGCCCTGAAGACTGGAAACGTCTCCAAAACGAAAGGGATGCCCTGGCTAAAATGTTAACGGCTGAAAAAGAAAACGTCAGAAAACTGAACGAAGAGTTAGGATCCATTAAACTGGAAAAAACCAAACTGGAAGAACAATACACTGTATTATCACGACAACATAACACTCTTGCGGAAGAGAACAAGAAATTGAATGAAGAATTACAAGTTCTCAAAGACGACATGACCCGTGTAATAGAGGAGTTGACTAAAATTAAGACTGAGCTTTCTACCGCTCAAGAAGTGCACACTAAATTGACAGAGGAATTGTCGGGTAAAGACGCATCTTTAACAGATATTAGAAATAAAGAAATGCAGATAAGAAAGATTGCTAAAAAATATAAAGGGCAATATGAGGAATTAGTAAAAACGGTTGAAGATGAAAAGAAAAAGAACGAGGGAGAAGCAGCTGCCGCGAGCTCCGCGCTGGCAGAAAGTAGTAAGAAAGTGGAAGCTCAACTCATTGAACTTCAATCTCAGTTGGAAACCGAGAAAGCTAATAACGAGAAGCTAAGACAAGAACTTGAAACCCTTAGGACAGACAAAGAGGACAGAGAAGAAAAGACGAAACAAGTGCTGAAACAAGCCAAAACTAAAATATGTCAGTTGACCGAGAGAAACAACGCACTAACTCGGGAACTGGACGAATCCCGTACTAAAATAGAAACAGTAGAGCAGAGCACTCGCGACGAACAAGATGTCAGATTGGCATTAATTAAATCGCAATATGAAGGACGCCTAACACGCCTTGACAAAGAATTGAGCGAGGCCCAAGCTGAACGCACTAGAGAAGTTGAAGCTTTGTTGCAAAAAGTAAATATGCTGCAGAGGCAGTTAGCAAGCCAGACTTCAGCATCAAAGCAACAAACGACTACCGAAAAAACTACCACGGATCCTCCTACTGCCAACATCAAACCTATGGCAGGTTAGTGTGGAAATTCGTTATGTATCGTAAATGTGTTCGATATTGATAAATTATCATTCTAAAGCAATAATTACGCTTCGAGGTAAACCTAACAAAGTTTGCGTGGTACAATAGGTGTAGCACAACAGAGCGTGACTCCGAGCCGTCGCGGCGGCGAGACCCCACTGGCGTCGATTCGCCCGATGGCGCAGGTTGGCCCCACAGCGCCTCACGACGCACACACGACTGAATACATGCCCGCGTCATCCTCGCGACCGTTGCCGCGTGCCGCGCTCGCCGCATCCACCGCGCCTCCGGAGTCTACACAGGTTAGTTCGAGTTCTAAGGTTTTCGCGACTATTACACATACGAATTTAAATTACTTTTCATGATCCAAATGGCGTATATTTGTCACAGTCAGTTAGACCATGGAACTCTGTAAAGGGATCATATACTTTTGTGACCTCTAATGTCTGTATTTTAGTAGTGTATGAAACTAAAAAAACACGTAGTTTATATTGTCACCAAGTCATAATATTTAAGTCGCATGGTAATTAAAAGTCCGTTAATAAATAGTTGATGCTTCGTTTTATACATTTTAGCATTGATTCTGGTAAAGCAATTGAACATTGTTGTGCAGGATATGGATACTAGTGAAGCCGGTATGGGCAGTTCTGGTTCGAGCGATAGCACTGCTCAACCGTCCTCACACTCACAGGATCAAAAACAGGTAACCGCGAAGTTAACATTATAATATAATTCCATACAATCATAATAAAATTCAATTTTTAAACAAGTTAACATAAGCATGTTAATTAACGACAATATAACTTAATTTATCGTTCCAGGCGGTTGCGCTAGTGATGCCACGCATCGAGCAACCGAGCGGCGGCCCGAGCTCAGGTAGCGGCACCGGTGTGGCAGCAGCAAGCTCTGCACCTTCCCCCAGCGTTACCAGTGGCGCCACCCCCGCGCCACCACAGGCGCCTCTGCCAGGTAAGATCTTATGACCAGACGTGAACAATCAGCTGTTTCAGATACACACAACTCTGTCTGACTCTAATTCTAACTCTAGACTAATTTAAAAATACTATTTAATTTTTTTAGTATAACAAGTAACCTTAAAGACTTCAATCAATAGGTTATCAGTCAGGTAACATATGAGGGGCGTTCAATGTATTCTCGGTATCGGGGTGATTTACTAATGATGAAGGTAGTTAAATTATCTCATTAGCTAATAACCCTCTCTGAGGGTATAAATACAAAATTTAATTCAATTATCATCACTAGCATTTGAAATATCCTTGGTGAAAGACGACGAGAATGACTGACGCAACAGTGTTGAGAAAAACCAAGCATCGGGCTGTGAAAAGATTCCTTACAAAACAAGAAAGAAGTCAAAAAATCATTCACAAAGAGATTGTGGCTGGTTATCAAGATTGTCTGGCTTCATTATCCACTGTTCAAAAGTAATCAACTGAATTTAAACGAGGTAGAGAAAACTGAAGAAAACGTGAAAATGATCGAGAAACTTGTATTTGGAGATCATATAAAAGTCAAAATGTTAGCAGAAACAACTAAGTTATCTGTGGGCACCATTTATACTATCTTTCACGACCATCTCCTGTTAAAAGCAAGATAGGTGCCGCGAATGCTCACTGCTCCGCAGAAACAAGTGCGTGTCGAGTGATGTAGATAATTTTTGAAGCTCTGTGGTGAAAATTCGCCAAGTATTTTGGACCGGATCGTTACCGGAGATGAAACGTGGATTCATCACTATAGTCCTGAGAGCAAGCAGGAGTCCGTGCATAAAAAAGAAGCAGAGCCACCAAAAATCTCCAACTCCATCAGCCGGAAAACTCATGGCCACAGTTTTTTGGGATTCAAGGGGATTTTTGCCCATTGAGCACACAAAAATAGATCACAGTATTACTGCCGCATCTTACGCAAACACTCCTCGTAATCTGAAGGAAACTATCAAAAAGAAATGGTTTGGAAAATTGACGACAACGCGCCGCTCCACACAGGGCGTGTTGCAAGGCTGCTGTGCGAGCCTGTGACTTTGAAGAAGTGAACTATTCACCTTACAGCTTAGACCTGACCCTCCGTGATTACTTTCTGTTCCCAATCTCAAAAAAAGAAAGTGTTTTTCCGACGATAAAGAGCTGAATGGTAGCAGATTAAACACGTTTTTCGGACAAAGAAGAAAAATATTTTTAGAGATCAAAGAAGTGTATTGACGTTAAAGAGAACTATGTTGAAAAATAAATTTTATTCAATATTTTCTGCCTTTTCCTTCATACCTATACCGAGAATACATTGAATGCCCCTCGTAGTTAGTAGCCACTTTTTCTTAATAGTTTATCTACTACTTGGGTTAGTTTTTATTACACTTGGATATAGTTACTCAAACTAGAACCAACCCACAAAATGTCACTTTCGAGATAATTGCGTTTTTGTAAAAACAGTGTGAAGAAATAAATAGGTAAGTTATTTGAGACAAACAACGTGAGTTACGTGTAGCATTGAGAATGATATAGGGAAACTATTATATAGCAATAAATAGAAAACATGTATCTTTCTATTTAGTCAACGAGAACCATATTCTGGTTTTCGTAATGAAAACGCTAAAGATCTACAGTACTTCAGTACATGTGACATGGATCCATTTAGCATATTTAAAAAAATACATTATATGAAGTTAAGCAGCATGGTTCTTTTTAGCTATTAAAAATTTATGAAGGATTTTTATTGATTGCCAGAATCTTTTGTGAAATACATAACTCAATTTCACTCGAGGTGTGGGTTGGTTCTTGTTTTGCATAACTATGTCCATTTGTAATATCTATTTATTTTGGAATGCGACGACTTAAACATGCCTGAAAATCGTCTCGTAAAATATTCAACTGCAACTCACTCGACTAGATCAGTCCTATATCTTTCGACATAAGTTTTGTTTATAGTGAACCTCCCTGTCAACCTCTTGGTTATACAGGAAAGGCACTATAACTTGTGCAAGCAAGCCCACACAGGGACCTTCTGTCAGGTCCTGACCCCAGATCAATCAATTTGCACACACTTCGGTTCTCAAAAGGTGTGCCTTGAGTGAGCTGCCCCGGGTGCACGTACGGTACCCTCCCTGTTGCCTTCCTAAAGTCTACTACCAAATCTCCTCTTTGGGGTGGAGCTGTAGGCACGCTCACTTCCCGACGTCAAAGCGTCTTTCCAGCTCCCAAATACGACCGGGACCGGAGAATGTCTAGCTCGCGACTAGATCAGTCCCATATCTTTCTACATAAGTTTTGTTTATAGTGCTCCTCCCTATCAACCTCTTGGTTATGCGGGAAGGGCACTATGGCCTGTGCAAGCGGTTTGCACAGGGACCATCTAAGTCAGGTCCTTCATCCGGTTATCTGTAAGGCTAGTGCCTTAGGTGAGCCGCCCCGGGTGCACGTACAGCACCCCCCCTATTTTCCAGATAAGTACCGAAGCTGTAGGCACGCTCACTTCCCGTCGCGCTCCGCACGACTAACGATTGCCACCGCTGAGTCGCCGGCTCTAAGCCGACTACCAAATCTCCTCATTTGTGGCGGAGCTGTAAGACACGCTCACTTCCCGACGCCGAATGAACGGTGTCCCTCCAGTTCCCAAGTTCCTACGCAGCCGAAGGGACCGCTCTTCTCTACTAGCTCTTCGGGCTAGTGCCGGAGATGCCAAGTGGCAGTGTCCTGCGACAATGCTCGGACATAGCCGCCAACTTAAAGGCAACTCACGTGCCCCGCGCGTCTCCTCGCCTCAGGCCCTCAACTAGATGGCTACTAAGACGCGCTAGCTGCGCGCGGGACGAACGCCCCGGTCACATGCTACCGGGGTAAACGAACGTGTTCGTCCCTGCAGCTAACCACAAACCCCGGCGAGTCCATACCCAAGTCCGGGTTCGCCAGAGACGCCCGTGAAGACGTATAACTGGCGGAGGGCTTGGCGCGAACGTCCGCCGTACCCTGGTCTTGCCGTCGAGCCAGTAGTCTCCGGAAAACCCTATCTCTCGGGTCAGTAGATAGGGACACGACGATTGACGATCTCGACTAGATCAGTAGTAACACACACTGCTCTAGAAAATTGAATTATGTTGGTCCATTGCAGTATCAGGTAGCGGTGCAGCGACGTCGGGAACAGGTGCCGCGGCATCTGGCGGCGTGAGCACGTCTCACCCACCGTCCGGCGTCAGCACATCCCACGCCGCACCGGCCGTGCCCGGCGTTAGCACTTCCCACGCGCCGCCTGAAGCAAGACCCGCCAAACGCCGCCTGCAGCCACGCCCGCTTGCCGCTAAGCGAACTCGCGTTCAGGTACTTTAAGCCAATTTGTTCCTAAGTATCTCTTAAGACTCCCATATTCTGGACGATTTCTTCACGATCCATCGTTTCAGACTAATCGTTAACGATTAACTTGAACGCTATGGGAGTAGCGACGGATCGACACAATTATTAGGAGAAACATTGTCACTTTACTCATACCAGCAAAGATTTTTCCTATTAGATAACTTTTTTGACGTGTTGCAGGTATATCTTTGATAAATGACTCGACTTTATGCGTGTTAATATGTAAAGTAACAATAATTAATTGTATTGTAGGGCTTCGAGCGTTCCGTAGAAGTGGAATATCAGGTGCCGACGTCGTCGCGTTGTGATCAGGACGACGAGGGCGTAATCGTCGTGGATTCAGAGGAGGACGACGAGCGCTGCAGCGGCACTATGTACAGGGTACGTTCATTCGAAAAACGTTGAACATTTCGCGTTGTATGTTTACTATTCGCCTTTATTTATATTGCCCAATATTTTTATCTTTTCAACTACTTCAAAATTGTTTTAAATAAACTTAAAGTTGTAATTTTTAAGTTTATTGAATGTTGCGATGTTTGACCACACGATATTCAATTATTTTTGTGAAATTACTAGTTTGTTACAATTATTAATACAAAGGTCGAACACTTAAGAAAAAATTCCTTGGATCGGGCTGGATTCGAACCAACGTGTTCCAGCAAACCGTGACACGGAACGAATTAGCGGACCTTACTAAATTTTCTGTGCTTGTTGCATAGTCAAAATCAAAGTCAAAGATTATTTATTCCATAGGTAAAATAAATTTACACTTGAAAACTTCACATTTAAGCTACTGCTCGTTCACTACGCTGACCTCCCTGAGAAGAACGAGCAAGAAACTTTAGGGGTTGCTCTTTTCAAACAAACTTAAATGCTATGGAATACACTTTGAATCAAATTTGTGTGGATTCTGGAGCCATGTCGTCTTTCCATACATCTTTATCTAACACGTAGTCTTCAATTTTGTAATATGATTTTTCGATCAAAAGATTTTTAATGTAGTTTTTAAACTTAGGAAATGATAAACTTAATATATGCTCCGGAATCTTATTATAAAAACGTATACAGTTCCCCATAAAAGAGTTTTTTTACCTTGGTTAAACGAAATCGTGGTATGAGTATGGTTTTGAGTGATGAGTATGGTATGGTATTGACTATGAGTTTGGACTTAGCTTAATATTATGGATATCTTCTTTGTTATTGAAATTATGTATATTTTTACGGGCATATAAAATATTTGAGTAAATGTACTGTGATGCCACAGTCATGATACCAGTCTCCTTAAACTAATCTCTGAGAGAAACCCGAGAGCCTAGACGGTACACAGAACGAATCGCTCGTTTTTGCAATACAAATATGGTTTGAATATCTGCCGCTTTACCCCACATGAGAATCCCGTAGGACATTATACTATGGAAGTAACTAAAATAAACTAGTCTAGCAGTACTAACATCGGTAAGCTCACGTATTCTGCGGACTGCGTATGCAGCGGAGCTTAATCTGCTGGCCAGGGAAGATACATGTGGAAACCATTGAAGTTTACTATCTAAGGTCACTCCCAAGAAGACTGCTTTATTAACAAAGTCTAACTTTTCTCCGTTTATTTCTATGCTTAGAATAGTCGATTTTACGTTAGGTAATTCAAATTTAACACATTTTATCTCCTTGGCATTAAGCAATAAATTGTTATCATTAAACCAATAAACTACCTTAGAGAGGGTATCATTAATATGGTCATAGTTAATGTCATGTCTGTCTGTCTTAAAAATCAAGGATGTGTCATCAGCAAACAACACTATTTCGCAATGGTCATTAACAAAGAATGGCAGATCATTAATATAAATCAGAAATATAAATCAGAAATAAGAAAGGCCCAAGTATTGAGCCCTGCGGATCACCCATTTTTACCGGAGAACCATTTGTAAGTCAATGGGAGAACCCAAAGAAGTCACACCATTTATGTCTACTTTCTGAATTCTACCGTTGAGATATGACGAGACAAGTTTCGACGCCTTGCCATTTACACCGTAATGTTCCAGCTTCCTAATAAGAGTAATATTATCAACGCAATCAAATGCCTTTGAGAGGTTACAGAAAATACCAATAGCGTTCTGGGAGCTTTCCCAAGCATCAAAGGTGTGTTTTAGTGACGCTACCCCCGCATCGCTAGTCGATCTACCACTAGTAAACCCGTATTGTTCACTATGAAAAATATTATTCCTACCGAAATAGGACAGTAATTGAGTCAGCATAACCTTTTCGAATATTTTACTTATAGCTAGTAAAATTTAAATGGGCCTATAGTTGCTAGGATCAACTTTCCTACCGCTTTTGAATAAGGGAATAACCTTGCGGTATTTCATTAAATCGGGAAAAACACCTTCGTCAACGCACCTATTGAAAGCTACAGCTAAATGTGGGGAAATTAGATCAATAACTGAGTCTATAACTTTAGTTGATATGCCCCAGAGATCTTTAGTTTTTTTAACATGTATTGATTTAAAAGCTTTTATGGTGTTTTGTGGATTAACATGACGGAAATTAAATAAACTGCCACAAACGTTAACATTTTCCTTTAGGAGATAATAGCAAGTGAAGGGGAGGAATTTAATGATTCTGTAGTTTTCACAGCAATTTCCGAAAAGAACGATTCAAAAGCTTGGGCTACTTTATTTTTACATTTTATAAGTTTACTGTCTAATTCTAAAACTATATCTCTATCGTGTTGTTTAACGTTGCCTGACTCTTTATTTATTATGCTTCAAGTAGTTTTAGATTTATTTATCGATTGTCTAATTTTTTCGCTGTGAAACTTAACTTTAGCAGCTACACATACTTTTTTAAATATTTTTGAATAAATTCTGGTTTAAGAAATTTATTCTCATAAGAATTACAATTCACTTAAATGAGAACTTAAGAAACTAACTAATAATAAGTATACATATTATTGCTTATGCGAGCGTGCTTATTTCCTTACACACAAATAATAATAATTAAATAAAAACTTAGGTTATGTACTACTAAAGAACATAAAAAAAAAGAAAAATAACTTTAACGACAATATTAATGTTTTGTTTACCTTCGCTAGTGTGGGTATATTCGAAAAACATAAGGCCAAACCAGTGCGCCGCAGAACCAACAAGGTTGAAACGAGTTACACAGATCGACAATAACTAGATGTGACAATCATTTCGAGTACAGATTTGGGATACATAATAATTTATATGTTGTTACGTATGTTGTATAAGTTGATTTGTTTCTCTGGGCGAATAAATAGGCCTTAAGTATTTTTTTGAATTTATACGTTTTTTTAGTTTCCTTTATAATTTTAGGCAATTCGTTGTAAATTTTTGCACTTTCGTATGTAATGTTCCTTTTGCCATAGTTTGTTCTAGGCGGACGTAATACAAGATTATTTGCACTTCTAAATTCTAACATATTCTATGAAATTGGAATTAGTATTATAAGTTTTCATAGCATATAGCTCATACAAACGAGACCTACTCTTATGAATACTTACTGTTGCACAGTCGTTGAATTTAGTATCTATGGAAAGTTAATGTTTTCGATTTAAATATATTATCAAATTAATTTTTAATTAAACCAAATATCGTGCTATATAAAGTATTTGGAACCTCCGGCATATGGGGTAGGGAATTTAAACTATTGCCGATATTATTTTGAAATCTAATGATTCGTTCTGTGGTAATCGGTCTGCAGAGAAATTGATCTACCTTCTTGCTAATTTTACAATTAAAAGAAGCCAATTGGCCACTATGGTCTGATCTTAAGCAATCTATTATTGATTTAGACACTGCGTTTGTGTTACAAAAGATGTTATCAATACAAGTAGAAGAGGAGGCAGTGATGGGAGTTGGTTCTAAGAAAAGATTAATCAAGTTAAAACTTTTAAATTAATTAATGAGTCTTACAGAAGTAGAACAGTTTTCCAATCTCCACAAATTAAATCTCCACATATTACTACGTTTTTTTTGGTTGGAAAAATCCGCTTTAAACTGTTTTCCATAATTAATTCAAACTCGTTAAAATTAGCAGAGGGGGGCCAGGATACACATAAGACGACAAACTGATCCAATTCCACACATGAAATCTCAATAGTTCGTTCAGTAGAAAGATCTGTGATATCCTTACGCTCTTGAAATGTTAAGTTACGTGTAATAATAATCATGGATCCGCCTCCACTTAAGCTCTTTCTTATGAACGTACTGACTACTACATAATTTTCTATGTTGTTAATTGCTTCGTAGTCTTTCAGCCAGTGTTCTGTAACTCAAAACACGTCAACGGAAATATCGTGCAAAAAAGACTTATTTCTAATGTTTTGCTAGAAAAGCCTTGAATATTTTGATGTATTACATTTAAACGATTAGACTTTTCTGTTGTCGTGTTTTCTAGTTTAAATTATGGTTAGTAAAAAGTATACTGTTGCTACTTAAAGTAGGAGCATTGTCGTGGGACTGTGTTATATTTTCTATAACAGCGTCCTTAATATTAAAAGATAGCGAACTAGCTATATGTCACAGATACCTTATGGGTAAAAGTAAGTTATCCTCAAAAAGTTTGAAGTTCCTTACGAATTTATTAATATCAAAACAAAATATAACGTCACTATGACGGCAAGTCAAACTATGAATGTGCGAATTTATGTTATGTATATACTTATTACGAGCGATGCCTAGGTTACAGCAGTAAAAAAAAAAAAAAGGTTACAGCAGTAAGGGAATGCACTTAGTATGAATTTACACCCACACTTCTCATGAATTCTCAAGAACACGTCAATGCTACTATTTACTTCTTTTTTATTAATGTTATTACTATCACCTATTATAAGAATCACTGTTGTATATTTATCAAAGTTGCAACCACTTAACAGTGTAATAATTTGACTAAAAGTAGCTCCTGGGTAGCAATAGTTGACTACCCTTTGTTTTAAGTGGTTACTTAGGTGGTGGCCTAGTCCTACGCCTATTTTATCAGAAATAACTACCGTTCTTCTGGATTGCCTGGGAGGAGTTATAATAGTCTTGGTTGACCGTTGACTATATCGAACTTCAACAGTTGTAGTGGAGCAGATAATGTTTTCCTGCAAAATATGCATATCTTTGTTTTTGGTTTTTAACAACTTTTTGGCCGTAGCGCCATCTGTGACAAATCTATTTGTTCACTCAGCCAGGTCCAACCTTTACAGCTACCTGTAGCTGACTAGAGTGTAAGAATTGTAATTTTTAAGTATATTGGATGTCACGATGTTTGATCAGTTCATTCTGTGTCTTTGTTGGCATAGCGTCTGTGCACGGTTTGCTGGAAGACGTTGGTTCGAATACAGTCGGATCGAAGGAATTTTTTCTAAGTGTTCGATTTTTGTATTAATAATTATAATAAACTTTTAAGATGATAATAGTATCTTTAAATTTTCATGTATTGTCCGGTTGTAACAGGAAGGTGAAGACGACGACGACGATATAGAGGAAGAGCAGGAGGTGGAGGGTGGCGAAGAGGAGGAAGAAGGTGATGACTCAGAAAACGCAGCGCGACAGGTACAATTAAGTTACGACATTTGACTTGAACCTTTACCTGCAATGGGAACGCGTTTGGCTTGCGGCGCATAGCGAACCCGACCAGCGGTATGTGGATACTTCGTTCTCCCATGAAGCTAGACCTGAGTCGTCGTTGCTTTTTGACTTTCGTTTCAAAGAACATAAACGGGCTTGTATGGCGGAAAGAGAATGTTGACACCATAGATTTAGTACATAGGTATACCCATAGATTGGCAATGCAAGTGAAAGAGCGTTAGTATACACGTATGTTAGAGCGAGATGGGTAGACGAGACCACTTCATTATACGCTATGAGCTTATATGAACCTAGGGTCAGTTGGCAACGAAGCAAATTTCGTTTATTTATGAAAAATAATTGGTTTTACAATGTGAAATAGTGTTAATCAGACGTTTATTAGTCATGGTAACGTGTTCAGAGCCCGGATGTAACTCATCTAAAAAGGAAAACTCGCAGAATTGTATATTTCACATGTAAGTACTATTTAAATTTTTAGCTGTCTAAAAGCACTACCACAAATGTTTTTGACATAAATATGTCCGTAAAATGATACCATTCAAGTGCATTAATAGCCCAAATGTGTACAAATTCAATTAAAAAATATATCAAATACGTGAATTTCTGAAATTCATAATTTTTTACATTTTTTTATTAAGGCTTTGGAAAAGCCATCAGCCTAAACATGAAGTTTAATTATGTTTCTGTAAATATGGCCGCCACAAAGAGGATAGGCAATTTTAGGCGGCGTGCTTGGGTTGACTCGGGATTCCTTAAAACGGGCCGATATGGGTATTTTAGTTCGAGATTCGTATAATTACGCGTTTTAATCTTCGATTAAGGCACAATAGCACTATCCTATTCCACTTTAAACTAGATTTCACAAAATAATTGAAAGTCAAAATAAAAACGACACTTTTCCGTCCAAAAGGGACGAATTTCAGATTCGCTCTGGACCTTTTGTCCAGAGCGAATCTGAAATTCATAACCCCACTATCATAAAGATTGACGCAATCGATAATATGTTATCGAGATGTCATTAACTGAAAAAAAGAAAGGCAAAGGCGTGGTTTGCACACAGCCGATATCATCTTCATACTTAATATTATTGAATCAGAAATTTCTGGTTTTATTCTTTATATTTAATTAATATTGCATTAGTGCATTATTTTCTGTCTACATTAAAACGAAAATTTCTTTTAATAACGTAGTTGAGGCACCCATTTTTTTATGTTAATTATTGTTGTTGATTCAGATTTCCTCAAAACATTGAAGTACGACAGAAATGGCTTATAATGCTAAAGAGAGAAGACTGGGTTCCCAAAAAGTTTTCAAAAATATGCAGTAAACACTTAAAGGAAAAAAAAAATCCTTTAGAGGCAAGCAAAGAGTAAAGCTACGTTCTGGTTCTGTACCCACATTATTCATGCCGGTATGTCTTACAATTAATGGATTTTTGTGTAGTAATACTTTCGTCAACAACAAATCGGCGATTTGTTGGATTTGTTGTTGTTAGAGTTCTGTTCTGTTCCGAAATACAATTCTCATATAGGATTACTTGTGTGTCCATCTGTCACAGCCAATTTACTCCAAACTCTGGACCGATTATTTTGAAATTTGGTACACATATGCATTTGTGTAACCAAAACGTGTAATGTAAATAAATTAATTTTGAATTTGCAGTCACTATTGGGTGGGAAAGTTCTCAAGTATATATTTTTTGTAATTTTGAAATATAAATATTTTTAAGTTGTTTAAGAAAATAGACGAAAATTGATCATTCTCCCCTTTATCTTCGAAACTGCTGAGCCTAAAGTTTTGAAAAAAATACAGAAATTGTCATTAAATCTCTCACTATTATGCGAATAAACCTATATTGGCTGTTGGAATCTTTTGGAGAACATATTCTTCAACTACAATATTAAGTCTGTACGGAAACCACTCCGCGCGAGTTCAACTCGCACTTGGTCGGTTTTTTCGTTCTATTACTTATCTGATAGTAGCTTTCTTAATTTTGTATTGAATCATTAATTAATTAATTAATTTACGTCCTGGCGTTTTGCGATAAGACATTTTGGTGAATACGACGAAGTGAAATGCCGGTGTAATATGTTAATCGATATTAAAGTTAAATCAGTGGATGGCGCAACACTATTTATCTTGCACTTGCACTATTTGTTTTGGTCTCGTCTCCAATACTTCAGGGCCAATCTATGGATATACTAAATCTATGGTTGACACCTTATTATGATTAAGGACTCCTAAGTAGAGAGATCCCCTGCGTGCTAAATTTTAATCAGATGTTTTTAGCCCGCTATTTACAATACATGAGCTGAGACAAGGGCGACAACTTCGTTTATTCCTGTCACTTCCCAGCCTTTTCGAGGACATCACTGATCTGGCCAGTGTAAGTCCTTCTGGGACAAACCTAAAAGGAATTTCAGTACCTACGTATTAGGGTTTACGCTCGAGATTTCTCGACACGAGAAATCCCGGGAAATCTGGCCATACCTCGAGACGAGAAAAATATCCTCGAGAATTCGAGAAATCAAATTACTTTTTTAAATTACTGAAAAATTGACTTATACATCTTTGTTGTGTCAGCAAGTTTTAAAGATTAAACTACAGAAAGCCAAAGAGGCTGCAACTTCCATGGGCAGTACTAGCACAGACTAACACCAAGTAACAAGAAGTTTATTAAAAAAAAAAACTTTCAACTATTTGAATTAACACGAAAACGAACACCAAACCTGGAAAATTTATATAAGGTGCTGATGACAGTAAAGCCAACATCCACGGGAAGCGAAAGAGCATTCTCAATCTCGGGAAATATGGTCACAAAAATACGAAACAGGCTTTCGAATGAAGCTATGTTGCACTGTTTTTTTTTAAAGCATACTTCATTAGAATGGGACAGGAATAAAAGTAGACTCAACATGATTTTGTTGAAGTTTTTTTTTTTTCATAAAAGACATAGTTTGTAATGTTGATTTGTTTGTAATGTGATTTGTTTTGTTAAGTTGATTGTAATGGCTAAATGAATTGTGTTTGTTTTTATTTGTATTTATAGTTGATTAAGCTGATTTGTTAAGGTTTTAAAATAATTCTCGAACAACTCGAGAAACCCACGAAATTGAGCTCGGGAATCCCGAAACTCGACAAAAAAAATATGTCGAGAAATCAGAAACCCTACTACATATGGATATGGTCCACATTAACTTAGTTCACGTAATATCAAATGCACTGATTTGACCGATTTGTAATAAGAGATTAACTACTTCGTTACAAAAAATAAAGTAGATAATTCCTTCGCCAAAATTCCACGCGTAAACCTGACAAAAAAGTACCCGAAATCTCAGGGATAGATGGCACGTTTCACAAAAAAATAATAGGTGTCCGAGATGTCAGTGCAATAGTCTGTGGTATGCAGTGAGCGTTGTTTGCAAGTATAATATCATTGGTGGTATGTATTAATTGACTCAGTATTCTTGATGCCTTTTGATCATACCAGTATAAAAAATAATATCCGCTACACTTTCGTCACGTTACAAACCCACGCGGCACCATTCAGCTTCTATTAACTATATTTAAAGCTTCTGTCGTTTATTTTGAAATAATAATACAGCGAATATATTTTATTCAATTACGTAACACATAACCTCCAAAACTTCAAACTGGAATATCTTTAATTCCAGACTTCTCAGAATAGTAAACCCAAAACAAAATTTGTTCAGTAATTTCAACTCTATATTTTCACATATTTTTCATAAGCATACAAATAATGTCAACAAAAAATTATATGGGAGTTTGCCATTGTTCTTTTGGATTGAGTACATAAACAATCCATACATAAAATTCACGCAAGTGGCAAGTGCACATTACCAAATTTGTTTACCTACGAATGACGTCACGCGTTCTGAGTTGACATGCAGTGCCGATCGTGCGGTAATTTATTTTTGATTACATTTGAACAAAGTTTTAGGGACTTGAGACGCTTTTTTTAAATAACATAATATTTTTCTTGGCAGTATATATCCATTATGATTGTTTTAAACATTTTCGGAAAAGTTGTTCAAATTCCTTGACGCAAGGGGCACCATAAATATGACATTAGTACAATAAGGCAAGTAGTGTAGCTCCATGTAAATATAGCAACGCGGCTTGTAGTGTGAACACCCGCCGTGCGCTGTGTACCGACGCACACATTTGCATAAACTCGCGCGGCACTCGCGTTCCACAGCGCGGGTCGTACGCGCCGTTCATTATAGAATTGAAGGTTCGCTCCATAATAGAATAAGAACAAGTACGATAACTCCGTATTAACGTCGCAGAGCGGCTTATATGTGCGCGCACCCGTGCACGGATGCACCCATTTGGATAAATAACTTAAGGGTGTTTTAAAGTTCCACAACTCTGGGGGCCTACCATTACCTTTCAAAAAACAATCTTATTATGTGACAATGTAAGCTTATAGTAAGCTTATTATAATACTACTCGTATTCGTACCACGACAAACCTATTAACCAAGTAATGTATTATTGCTAAAGTGACTGGAAGAACGAATGAGTTCCAAATATTGTCTATTCCTTACTAAAAATAGGAAAGAAATAACGCTATATGAACTGTATAATGCCATTTCTTTCTTTTTAGATGTTCCGAATCATCCTATCGTAGTTATAATGTTAAAGTACTTACAGTTCGCGAGGTCTAAGCTGAGCTTTGCATTTGTGTGAGTGATCACCAAAAGTAGAGTCAGACAAAAAACTTTTAAAAATAAATTTTAGTATTAGGTAGGTTTTTAACATAAGTGGGAAATTAAAACTAAATAGCATAAATTGTTAAAATAAAGGCCAGCTATGTATATGTATGACCGATGAGCATGTGTACATATGTAAGTGTGACCGAGAAGTCAGAGATCAATAAATAAAATTCAAATATAAAAAAAAATTATAACAATTCTTCTGCACCGGACATTGCATTTTCATCATTTTCTTTATCACTCTCGTCTTCATTTTCACTCTCCTCTGATGTATCGTTTGTGTTAATAATGAATCGTTCCGTTATATCGTCAAGAACGGCATCGTGACCATGAAACTTTTTTTCTTCTTTTATTGCGTGGTCACATACATTTTTCCATTCTTGTACAGTGATAGTGTCAACTTTTTCTTTCGCTAACCTCATAATTGTATCCATATTCATTGACACGTTTTTTTTAGCCACGTATCCTTTTATCATTGCCCATATATTTTCAATTGGGTTGAAATCCGGGTGGTAGGGTGGTAGACGAATGACGCTGTGACCATGTTCTCTAAGTAAAGTGTCAATTTTATATTCAATAAATCTTTGTTTGTTTTGCAGTATCAATTGATAGAGTTGTGGTTTAAGCATCGATGTAGAGTGATCGATATTGCGATACTTGAGCCAGTCAATCATATCTTGTTTACGACTATTTGAGTTGGGAGCGGGATTTTCTAACGAATTGTGGTAAGATGCATTGTCTACCACCACAACGCTATTGGGCTTTAAATTTGGAATTAATTGCGTTTGTAACCATTTCGTGTAGTTTGCTGCATTCATATTATCATGGTAATCACCACTTTTTTGATTTGCTTTGAACATCAGCAGTGCATTTGGTATGAAACCGTCCTCTCCGCCGGCATGAACTATTATTAAACGATTTCCTTTAGAAATTGGTTTCTTCAAACCAGAAGTGCTGCCATCTGAATAAGATTTTGAAGAAGTGTGAGTCGTGTCTATGTATGTTTCGTCGGTATAAACGACTGGCCGGCCCTGAATACGATATTCGGAAATTTTAATCAAAAAATGTATACGTAGATAACGTATCTCATGTTTTTCCATTAGAATTTTTCTATTATCTTCTGTTCTTTTCCATTTAAATCCTAAAAGAGACACTTCTTTACGCAATGACCAAATTGAACCTGGATAGTTTATTTCTCTCTTCAACTTTTCATGTATTCGTTTCATAGTTGGCACCTCTTTATCAGTAATGTGAAAGTTGTGAATAGTTCTTCGGATTACCGCTTTATCAAAATCGTCAATGATAATGATATTTTCCCTGCATCTGGTCTTTTTCGGAGATTTAAATTTGCTTCCGTCTTCCAAAAGACGTTTACCTTCCAATAAAACTCTTTTGACAGTGGACAGCGGAATTCCCGTCGATGTCGCTACCAATTGGGCTGATGTAGTGACACTTGACATGTCTTTGTCGTTCATGTCTTTAAAATAACTATTTAAATTACACAAAATTTCCTTTACTTGGCTATTTAAAGGTTTTCGTATAATTCGTTTATTTGTGTTGGCAGCCATTTCACTAATAAATCGAATACAAAAACAAAATATTAAGAATTAAACACGTCACGCTGCTACCAGTACAAGAGGTGAAGTGTGAAAGGTGCGCGGCGGAGTTGCGTCGCGCGAGGGATGCACCGCGCCTCAGGCCAATTGACAAAAAGCAGTTTAAACCGATTTAAACCTAGAAAAGGACGCGTCGCTCTCTAGGCCGACGTCCCACCTACACTATCTATGTGCACTCACACAAATGCAAAGCTCAGCTTAGGCCTCGCGGACTGTAATATTATTTACAATTAGAGAATTTTAACTGTCAAAAAAAGAAAAGTAAGTAATAATGAAATCTATTAAAATTACGTTTTTTCCAATTATTTTTCCGCATTCTCATGACGAAAAATAAACAAAATAAGCGGAGTCTTAATTGTCATGTTGTGAATTCGGAATTATAGTCTAGTGTCAACTGTTAGTGTCGCCAAGGAGCATATAGATGTCGCTGTCATAATTTTACGAAATAAACATCTCGTGTTTTTATTTGACGAGAAATTATTTCCCATGTACTATTAAACAAAAAAAAACAAAGTATTGAAGAGATACATATAAATAAATAAGTTCAAATTACCTATTAATCATTACAAATCAATATTTAGACAATAAATTCGAAAGTAACGGTGTTTCCAATACATCCGTGTAACTATTTGAAGATTGCTAAATTTGACATAAGAACAATATTACTTTAATGTTAAAGTCGCGTCATAGTACAAACTGAGTGAATGAATGAACAAAGCTGCCAATAAAACATCATAGACTTAACATTGTTTTAAGTTTACTTTAAGCGCGTCATGGTACGAAAAGTCAATGTAAGGTTAAAGTAATATTGTTTTAAGAGGTTGTGGTAAGCCCCCTGGTAGTCTCAATGCGCCTTTATGCGGGTGCGTATGTATTCAGCGCGCGACAGTTGCGCACACATACAAACCGCGCTGTTATATGGTATGGAGTTGCCCTACTTGTTCTATTCTACTATGTTCGCTCGGTGTGAAACGACATCATATTTTGCAACCTGTAGGTAATGTGTTGGTACAATTATAATAATAATATGACAACCCTACGCTCTGTAGGACGTGTAGGCATGGACAACTGGCGGGGGTTGGACTACTTTTTTAACAACCTGAACCTTCAAACCTTATGCTTCAAAAACCGAAATGCTGTAATGCTCACTTTACTGCTTGGCGGCAGAAATAGGTAATATGGCAGTACTTCCCCAGACGAATTCTCACACGGAGCTGTACTTGTATCATAATATGCTAATACCTGGTTTAAGAAAAACTGATCTAAGGGAAGTAATTTTTGTTCGAAGGATTCGCCAGCACAATCTCCCGAGGCAGGCGAGGAGGGTGAAGAGAGCGAGTTGGGCGACAGCGGTTCAGGGCCGGGTGGCGAGGCCGATTCCGAACCCACGCCCGCTCCTGGCGCGCAGATTGAGACCATCAGCAGCGGCACCGAGCGTGAGTATCCATCCACACAATACTATTTTTATCTATACACATATCACAAACCCTCTATGATGTGTTCAAAAGCCGCAAATTACGGCCAGCATAAAAATAAACTGTTTCCCTGTGTCCCACATCTTTTTGAAATCACTCTAGTATCTAATTGTACAATTCCTTTGGGTACGGATTTTTGCCTTGCAATCATTCGCATCGCGAAATGGGGTATCAGAGGATATTCTAAATTTTCTATAATACAACAACCGCTGCCGGGCTCCTGAAACCTAAAACCTCTCCATTAATGAAATATTGCGTCTCACGCGTACAACCTCAGTAATATTTACGAGCAAAAAAAATTATGTTGGTCTATTTCTGTCTATTTATAATTGTAAATATTTTATACCTTTTCCATTACATCCTTTATTATATTTGGCAAGTAAAAGTATTAAATGTTAGTATCTATAACAATAATCTATATGTGGTGTGGAATAGCGAGCGGTGCGCTCTCGTTGGGCGGCAATGGCGGCGACGACGGTGACGACAGCATAGTTCCTTCTACACCTACTCTCTACGTTCCACGACGCAATGATGGGTAAATAGTGTTCTTTTTTCTGGGACTGTGCCAAATCCATGCCAAAACCATGGTAGACACAGAGACACTGTCTTAGGTACAGGGTCAAGAGCACGTCAAGCTTGACATTTAAGATTTAAATCCAACTGTGCCGCTTACGATAAGAACAGTCCAAAGTGCAAAGTGTCAAGCTTGACGTGCTCGTGACTGTACGAATAAATCTTTTTTTGTGATAAGAAGCGTGAGTTTTACATAAAAATTAATAATAAAAGATTATGTACATTAAGTATCATAAATTGTAATTATAAATTTCAGAAAATTCGGGGAGCATGTTATTAGTAAATAAACATGGCTGTTTACAAAAGTAACGGAGAATGATTAAAAAATAAACTTTGCGTAGTGTTTATTGGACATATCGAAATTAAATCAAAAACTTAATAAATTTTTGTATATCAATTATCATTAAAAAAATGCTTTGAGAGCAGTCCATCCGTTGGGGAGCTACAATGCCACAAACACACTGATACACAAACAAGGGCGTCATACTTATAACTCACCTGTTGTAGTGTCGGTTTTATATATTATCTACTGTTCAATTGTGTATTCTTCTGAGGCAATTAAATACATAATAGTAACATAACATATCGTTGGAGATAGTGCAATTAACGCGCAACTAGGATTCAGTTTTTATTTTGGTAATTTAGTGGCCAAATCAAATCCGCGTAAATGTCGTGGCACCCAAATTAGGGAGTTACGGTAATCTATTGTTATAAGCCCGTAGACGATATAAATTTATGTTTACTGTGCAAAAATGAAAGTCGTAACCATTGAAATAACAAAGTAATAACATTAAACCCCTCCCCTGTAAAATTTGGATTAGAGTAGTTACGCGCCATTTACTATTACTATAGTCCGTCTTTTTTGAAAACGGAGTAAAATGACATTTGTGGGGTTGCCAGTTTTCATAACTGTTTAAAATAGTTATGTATTTGTTGTCGATAATTTTATCGATAGTTTGTGAAAGATGTGACGTGCTCTTGACTGTACTACGTTCTAATGATTACTAATTACTTTTTTGCCTTCTTTATTCTTATTTTGATAGTTAATAATAATAATAATAATAATAATAACGCACATACTCAACATAGCCCCGCACTAGGGAAACCCTGTGTCGCGGGTGCCATAGACACACACATAGACAACCACAAATGACACCCAAATTCACGAGAGAAATAAGTGTAGGCCATACAAATTTTTCTCCCGGCCCAGGAATCGAACCTGAGACCTCTGCGTGGCAGTCCGGCATGGTAACCGTTCGGCCACGGAGGCAGTTAACAGTTAATAGTTGGGCTCCTAGTATCGAGATCAATTTTTATTCATATACATTTTAACAAGAAGAGCTGGATTTGATATTCTGTATCTGTATTGAATTAAAATGAAAAACTTTAAAGATATGTCTCCTCTTTTTAACATAGTTCTAAATACAGTGTATCTGATATAGTTTCAGGTTTCCACATAATGTTCCCGTCATAAAAACACTGTAGTCACTAGAGTAGCATGCATTACTGATTGCTATTAATATGAATAACAATGGTCTGCCAGTTTCTCAAATTAACATAATATTCAGCCTTAAGGCGTCTACACACGGCTAAAATTAGTTCTTTAGAATTCTTCAACTTATCAAGAATACCAAACAGTTTGTTAGCCTACACGCCCTGTTTTTTTATTTAATTTGATTGTTCCACGACAATCTCACTATATTTAAGTACAGTCAACAATTTTGCCTGTTGGCTAAATGAGCGTTTGTCAAGGAGATTTTATGTTTGGTAACTTGCGAATAAAAGATCGTTATCCAATTTACAAATTTACTTCCGAGTGAGGAGTGACGACGCTTCACAGTCAATCTTCTTAGCTTGGACTAATGAATACTTTCAGAAATCGAGTGACGTAATACACAATATTATATTATGCGATACAGGTTCGGCGAGGCAGTTGTGTCGCCCCTAGGCGCAGGAGGTGCCAGTGGCACGAGCGGAGCGCGGTTTACCTTCGTGGAGGCAGGCGGCGCAGGCGCCGGTGCTGCCTCGCACCACGACACGCACGCCGACCTCACCGCAGCATTACCCCCGCCGCATCCACACCCCGCGCTTCACTCCGACTCGCGTGAGTTCGCCTATGCACCCTTGGTGAATCAAGTCACTGTTATAACCGATGAGAAATTAAACTTTGGTTTTGTTGACCGACATAAAAAATATTTCGATATCTCCCACATAAGTTGTTGTAAGTCAAAATACCATTTTTTACTTTTATAAGTCAAATATAGGTATACTTTTTATGCATATTATAGGTTCCGTATTTAAAAGTAAAGAAATCACTTAGTGTTATGTTTACTTTCAAACATGGAACCTATAAAAAAGGTTAAATTTAAGTTGAAGAACAAAAAATGTTTATTTTGACTTACAACAACTTACGTGCGAGGTATCGATTTATGTCCAGGGACAATAAATCTAGCAGAGGACTTCAGTTCTGCTATCGTGCCACGACGCACTCAGTCGTCCCATAATTAAGAAAATCTCAAATAAAATAAATTTGAAGGTGGTGAGACATCAGAAACACGCGAATGGGAAGAATCACGAGTGGAAGAAGAAGCTGCCGCTGTTAGCTCGCAGGGCAGTGAGCCGTCCTCTCCGCATCAGGTAAAACAATACTAACCAATTTGAAAACGTGTGATTACAGTCGAAAGAAATATATGTGGCGTATTATTACGTATGCTTGGCGACGAATTTTAAAGCGTTTGTTGTTACAAGCGTGGCGAACGTGTGCAGATCGCTGAGGAGGGTCGCGAGGCGGAGGCCAGTGCGCCCCCCGCGCCCCAGCGCCGCCAGCACCACCCCCCGCCGCATTCGCCGCACCAACGCTGGATGCGTGCTGCCGGTACGTCTACTCACAAATTACTACTTGCAAAACCAAAAGTTGCTGTAAAAAGAAACGAAATACGCCGCGTTCTATGTTTACGCGACGCATTTCGTTTTTTTAAACGACTTTGTTTGCTAGTGCCTTGCGTGTCGGCGTGCACGACATTCTAGAAAATGCGCCATATGCATAACGTAATTAAATATATGTTAATTATGGATCTAATATTTAAAAAGTTCGTATTCATAGATTGGGGTCCTGTATCAGAAGTCCTTACATCATAATATACATTTGTAGACACTATTGTATATGTATAGAGAAAGTGGGTACTTGTGAATCGTACAAATGGAATTTACATTTTATGCACTGGAAGACCCATGAGAATATTCAAGTCATCATTTCGTTTTTGCTAGAATTAAGCTATAAGATAGGCCTGGGCAGGACATGGCTATAGTGCAATTTTTTATTTATTAAATTTTTGTATGACTATGTCTTTTGTCGTGTGTAGATCAGCCCCAGTAGCATGGCTACGCATGATAGTCGCGACACGCGCGATCAAATTGAAATAAGCGCGTGCTATTGGCTATTTAAATTAGATCTGATTGAGACAGTCAATAGCGCGCGATTATTACGGGGCTGAAAGACCTATAGCCAAATTACTGGAGTTGCGTGTACCTACTATTGGTACATGCTGGTTTAATTCATGTGTCTTATGACAACATATTGACCTATATATAAGTTTTAGAAGGTTGGAAGATTTAAATTTTCTTTTTTTTTATGTACATGTGTACTTGAACTCTTTTTTGCATTATGTGCTTTAACTGCAATCACATATAAAAAAAAACGGGTCGGTATCAACGACTATATTTTCAAAATAACCAGGGCTCATACCATGAACTTAACTGAAACGAATCAATAACGGAGCAGTTAAATTTCGTTAAAATTCGTACCATGACCTAGTTAAAACTGATTCGCTTACAAACCGCTAACCCGCGAATAAATGACCGATATTTGTCTCTGGTCCGCTACCATTTTGTATTGTGAAATTTTTAAATATAAATGAGCTTTCTTTAGATACGTGTGTTTTTAGCCAAAGACATGTTTTTTTAAGGATATTTTTATAGGTACTTCTGTAAAACATAAAAAATAAACTTATATAATGTCATTACTAAGTGAAATAAATAAAGAACACGCGCTTGTCGCCTTTTAGGAAGAATAGAATTTATATGAAGATGCTGTATGGTGAAACCTTTACCTACCCAAATATATGGGTGAAAATTTATTTAAAAAAAAGTTTATCAAAAGATAAACAAAACTGATAAGTATTTTTCAAACTAGAAGACATATTTTATTAGCTTGTGCTAGAAGATCAATAAAGTTTATTAATGTCCTCTGTGGTGAAGTTTGCCAAAGACTTAAAAGAACAACGTAGGTAAGTATCAATATACCACACTTTTAGATTATTGTTTACGTTGAATGGATCTGGGATTTGTTATCTTATCACATTTACGTATAAGTACATAACATATTCATATTTTCAGTGTTCGGAGTACAGCTGCTCAATTAAGGGTTTTAGTGGATTACATGGCGGCAGACTCACAGGGCCCAACAATTGGAAAAAGTATGGATTGCCCTCACTTCTAAATTAGAAAACCATGATCCTAAACACTAAAATTATGGAAGCATGTGAGTACCTGTTTCAGGATTTTAATCCAAAAGTAGACCCGAATGAAACCTAGTTCTTGTGGTATATATTATTTTGATTTTCAAACTTACAGGGACTTCTAATAGAGCGGAAAGGAGGAAATATGGGATAGGTAAGTGAGCTTTGAAATTTGCAGACTATGGTTATCTATACCTATACTATGAGCAATTGCAGACATACTGAAGATGTTTGTAATTGCTCATAGATAGGGTTTTGAATAGGTGTTTACTGAAATAATGAACATCTGTAATTAAAATACTTATTTATTAAATTATTTCTTTTTTTCAATAGAAAATTCTTGCATTCGGAGTGGTTTCAAGTTGAGATCGAGAGATTGTTGAGATGCATCTTCATCATATATATTCTCCTCTTCTTCTGGAGCTTCCAAAAACACTGAAACACAAAAAAAGTTCATGAAGAATCCATTAAGAATATCATTTCAATGTAATTTTAAGAAGTAAATTATGGTGTTTTCTGACCTAAAATTTGCCCAGTATATATTATGTATAAAATGATTTTGTTCTTCGTTTTCTCAGTACGAAATAATGGTCTCATCATCCGGTGTGCCCATTCATAACTAGAATCGCCTGAAACAATTATGCAAACAATTTATAAATATAAATCACTAATACATAGTTGTACTTTTATTAATGTACTTTTTTTATTGTTTCAGATCGGTTGTTATAATTTGTCATGAATTTGAGTTAAGTCATAAGTATATTTGGAATATGACCAGTCCAAGGAAGTGATGTAATATGTGTTTTATCAACAAGTAGGTTCACCCATACCAGCGCCTTAAAAGTCCATATCAGTTTGGAACGGAACAGGATCTTTTGTGATGTACCTAATGAAATTAGCTGTAAAATAAAATAGTGTATTTAAAATAATATAAGTATAAGATATGTATGCTTGTGAGTCATGTTATGAAACAAGTTTAAATAATTAGAAATAAATACAGATGCGTGTAAGAGACAGAATGCAAGTTATTTCTTATTAGTTATTATGCTATTAATTTGATGTGATTGATTATAAATATAATATGTAGGTATAGGTATGGTGTAATAAATATTTGAAATATTTATTTTGGTATTATTGTATTTGTTTTGTTTCATACATACCTAAAGACATAAAACAAAGACATAAAATGCCCCAGTATTACTATGCAGGCAGCTTTATTCTTTCCTTACAAAATATATCCTATACCCCATACTTGTGTCAATGTATCCTCCTCCATTTCTCACGATCCATAGATAGACCACAGTGTAGCTCTCCGCACTCTAACATTTCTTTATTTACTCGCACATCATGATCATGGTGTATGCTATGTCGATCTTCTCTTCCTTCAATTGAAACCTTTATAAATTTGTGCCAAGCAGCCACATACTCTCGTATAGATTTTCCAGATTAAGTTTAATTGGGTTTACATCCATTTCTATGTATGGCTCCACCATAGCTTGCACCTGTATTAGTGATATTCATAACAGGATCACATCTGAAATTGAATATTTTGAATAACAACACGAGGTCAAATGCATTTAAAAACAGGTTAAATATAAAAAATACTCACCTAGATCTTATCTTATTTTTTTCCTCAAGATTGTTTGGGAAACTTTTTTGTTCTTATTTCTGTATGACTGAGACATGCTGTGATTTCACTTATTCCTGCAGACACTGTTTTTGTGCCATTGAATAAACACTGATGACTCCTGTTGGTCGTTAATATCAATTCCTTGGATAATCTGTAGGTATTTTTTAATAAAATCATCCAATTCAAAAGAGTTGGATTGAATCCTTACATGGCGCCGTTTTTGGCGACAATTAAAATTTGTTTTCGAGTTTGTCTGACTCCAGGAATTCTAATAATTCGTTGTCGCACATCTGAAAGTACAATAATTTACTTAATTATGTACATTTATACTTATTATTGTTATGGTTAGTTACATAGTATTTATTATAATCTAATGAGTATTTACCTTTTATCAACAACTTACAACACGTTTTCACTGATAAACAATTATATAATTTCTCAAAAAAATAGATAAATCCTCAAAATAAATGAAAATTATTTGATAAAATAGCAAAACGTCTCAATTTAAGTTGGCAATGAGTAACTTTCTTTGATCCGAATTTTATGACATTACAGTGAACCAACATTGGATTAACTAATGTCAAATAGCATGTCGTGGTACAAAAAATGAATGAACGTAATAGATTTCAAAGGAGAGCTCAATTTAGGGTTTGGTTTGGCGTTGGCGTAAATGCTGTTGACATGATCGTTTTTTGACGTCACGGTCGAATAAGCGAAACGGACTACTTGTTTAGGTTCAATGTGGAATCGCAATAAGAGTTCATGGTAAAGTCCCAGATCAGCATAAGGACTAGATCGCAAAACGACCGCCTCTGCAGAAAGACTATAACTTATAATGACTTGGTAGCAAAACGACTAGATATCGAAAGGATCATATCGATAAATAGACGACATGGTAAAACGACAAGGTAGAGTTTAGTTAAAAATTTGTTGTTCAAAAAATACGAATGAAAATAAGAAGTTATAAAATTGGTTCCATTTTATACTTTAAATTGTACTTAATAGTAGAAATATTTTTGAGAAATGTAATGTGAGTCTTCTTACTGTTCGCGTGGCTAAAGTTTCTATTTATTTTCAAACGCAGGAACTCGGCTTCTTTTTTTAGTGAATGTAGATTAATGTAGGCTAGTGCTGCGATATGAATATTCGAATGAATATTCCATATGCGATTTCAGTTAGAAAACATACTGTTGATATTATGAATAAGAGGATTGTAATTTTATTTTACAATAATTTTTAATTGGCAAGGTTGGCCGTGGTAGCATAGACAAATAAAAATTCAAATTATAAAAATTTTGTTCCATTTTTTTTATGATGACACTAAATGTTTAACCGAACTGTACTATGAAAAAACAATAACAAAATCTAGTTATTTTGCTGCATGTGGTCCATTTAACGATAGGGTCATTTCGTCTCGTATCAAGTCGCATTGCTACCTAGTCATTGTAAGTTATAGTCTTTCTGCAGAGACGGTCGTTTTGCGATCTAGTCCTTATGCTGATCAGGTCATTTTGAAGATATTGTCATTACGAGACCGGTCCAAAAAAAACTTGTATTCACAAAAGAACACTCATATCTTTCTACATAAGTCATGTTTATATTTTTTATTCTTATATTTATTATAGTGCCCCTTCCTATCTCTTGGTTATGCGGGAAGGGCACTATAACCTTATAAGTTCAGGTTCTGACCCCAGATCAGCCAGTGTACAGGGTTGTCACTTGTCTTCATCCGGTTATCCGAGGCTAGTGGCTCGAGTAAGCTGCCCCGGGTGCACGCACAATACCCTCCTATTTTCCAGATAGGTACCGGAGCTGTAAGCACGCTCACTTCCCGTTGCGCATTGCACAACTAGCGGTTGCCACCGCCAAGCCGTCGACTCTGAGGGTCGTATTCCAGAACTCTACTCAATGCTCAAGTCAGGACTTGAGCAGACTTGAGTATGATTTCAAGCACTGGAAATACGACCCTAATGACAAGGACTTGAGTATGATTTTCAGTGCTCACTGCAATACTCAAATCCTGACTTGAGTATTGAGTAGAGTTCTGGAATACGACCCTGAGTCCACTACCAAATCTCCTCATTGGTGGCGGAGCTGTAAGGCACGCTCACTTACCACGGTGTGTAATGGAAGATATAACAACAAATAATCTAATTTCACTGAGTATAACAACATTTGATATAATTTCTAAGGGAATAATCACTCACTGTATATAATCAATAAAAGGTATAACAGCAAAAGGCATAATTTCAATGTGTATAAAAAGTTTTCAGTATAATAAACATTAGATATAATGATTAGTTTGCATAATGAACAAATGGTATAAGTACTATCAGTATAATGCATTAAATAATATAACACAATATTTCGTTTTACGATTTGTTGAAGCGCCCTATATTATGTTGATAACAAGTTTTTTATTTCATTAAATGTACAATCGAAAAATATAATTCTTTTTGCGTAGCTTTATATTTATTAAAATTATAAGCAGAGTATTTAATTGCATATACTAACCTAACCTAAAACCACAGGAGGAGGTCGAACCAACTAGGAAATGCAAACAAATTCGGTTCATTCACCCTTGCACCTAAACACCACTGGTGTTATGTTAATAATACATTATATTCAGTGAATGTTATATCTGAAGTGTTTGTATAAAATGAACATTATGCCATCGATATATTAGATTGAAAGTTGTTATATCAACCGTCTATTATATACCCAGTGAGCTTTATATCATGCAATAATATGTCAAATGTCTGTATACCATAAATTAATTACATACATATGTCGAGCGTTATGTCGACTAAAAATATGTCATTTGTTGTTATATATTACGAACCGTACACCACTTACCGACGCCGAAAAACGACGTCTCCAGTTCTCAATAACCTAAGCGGCTGGAGGAACCGGAAGACATCTAGCTTATCCTCTACAAGCTTTCCCGCCTGGTGACGGAGATGCCAGTCCGAGAGTCCTGCGACAATGCGACCTGCGGTCATAGACACCCACTTACAGGGCAACTCACGTGCCCCGCGCGTCTCCTTGCGTTAGACCCTCAATTAGACCGCTACTAAGACACGCTAGCTGCGCACGAGACGCACGCCCCGGCCACATACTACCGGGGCAGACGAACGTGTTCGTCTCTGCAGTTAACCACAAAACCCAGAGACTCAGTTTATGAACATTCTTTATTTTATATTGAAGCGTATCGTTGTGTCCACGTACTCAAAGGTATTTAATAACAATTTTGGCATATCAAAAAATGCGATGATCGTGGAGTTGTTTTTTTTTCTGTTTTATGAATAAACACTTTTGTAAAGCAGCAGTAGTATTTGATATAAGAACATATTGAAAAAAATGTTACTAATTTTGGGATAAAAACTGGGTTTGTTAACAAAATCAGTAGGTATATTTATCGCATACGAATCGGCATAAACATAGTATGCGTTCGTGACGTGCAATGTAATATGTTCGAAATTACATATCCATTATCTCTGACCCTGGCTGCATTGTACTTCTAACGATTTCGATACTTAATATGCCTGTTTGTTCTGTAACTGGCTTTAACAAGCCTTTACTATAAAAATAAGAACTACATTTGTTTACGTTTTACCTATAATACAAACCACGACAAAATCTTAAATTGTCTTTTTACGAAACTATGTTCAAATAATTTACGCGCAGTCGACATCAAAAGTATCTCGATGATCGCCTAGTTTTTTCTTTATTATTGTACATAAAATTAATGTCCATAAAATTTTGCGAAAAAATTCAACACCAGTAAGAATAAATTCAGATGAATATTGTTAAATTCTATATTACAATTTAACGAGTTTTTTTATGTACGGACAACGGCACATCAGACTACACATTTTTGTTCGAAAATCGCCTCCATTGCAACGGAACAAGATACGTCAATGTGTAGCTTGATGTGCTGGGTGTGTACGTTTAATATTAAAATATTGAAGTCATCTACGAGTCCTGATCTGACCTTTGTTTTTCACCTTCTACATTAATATTTAATTTTTTGTTGGCTTGTAAAAGGACTTTCTGTTCAATCACGAATACGTTATAATAATAATCATCATTTATTTTGGAACTGGTCCATAAATTGTCAGTAAATTACAAAATGCTTAGGTTATAATTATATGTGCACGGAAAAATATGTGTAATAATCAGTACTATTGACTTCTTACAGACAGCGAAAGTGGTACACGTGGACGGGGGATGCGGTCGAGAGGACGACCCGCAAGAAGGTCCCATTATATGAGGTTTTAGTAAATCAATAGAGTACCGTTACGCAACATCCTTATATCTATTTAGTATTTTTTATGATTACCTAATTAAAATTATTATAATACACTCATGATACGGACTAATTATTGTTACAATGAGCTCATCACTCTTGGCATGTGAAAAAAAACCTTTTTATTTCTTAAATTCTCCTGTGGTTATTACAAATGGTGATTGCTCGTAGAAAAGAATGTGGCGATTAAATGAATAAAAGAAATTTAATGATTGACATGAATACGATTAAGAATTGACATGAAGAACTTAATTATTTGCAATTGAAAATGTCACCATTTTGTATCTGGTGTGCTTCTAAAATATTTCCGTTTACATTTCGTGCCAACTGTTGCGGAATTTTTATTAAGCTAAAAACATTTTTCTTGAACGTTTTTCATTGTTCATTGTATTAATAAGTATCAAAATAGTAATTAAGTGTTGCCTATGATATGTTAGATTTAAGCACAACATTTCCATAATTAACTATCCTGTGTAGAATTTAAATAAAGGTATTTCATAGGAATTCAATTTTTTATTTATATACTTACGCTGTTATTTACTGACTATGGGCCATGTACAATGTACATATATATCACTAGTGAAAATATCAAGTCTACTACGGGCTCACACAAGCAGTGATCTACACTGATGGACACTGAAATCTGACAACAAACGGGAATTTAAAAATAAACATCAATTTCAAATTAGATTAAATAACAGGGATCATCATTATGAGATCGTATACATTTTATATATGCCCTTTACTTCGATTGATTTGTGACTTGAGGAGATGACTGTCAAGAGAACAGTCTTATAATGCAACAAAAATTGGTGTATGATATAAAATTCGGAAAATGCAGGCTACTGCAGTCAAAAGAAAAGCTGTTTTATATTATATTAGTATATGTATGTATACACATCATAACGACGATTTGGTTGCAACATGCAACGCGTCACGGTTGAACGGAATTACAAGTACATATTGTATTAGTAATTTTTAATACATGGCGGTTTCAGGTCGTCCATAGAGGAATATGGATTTATGATTGTGAAGTATTAGGTAGGTTTTTGCTTTAGAAATAGTTCCCACTAACTAGAAAACATTAGATCAACATAATAAGAGGGCTAATTATTTTGAGGACACAAACGACGTCACAAAAATATATAAAATAGTGGAAAGTAATTCTGATCACTTTTACAAATGTATTGCGATCTGTTAGAACACGCCATGGGTAATTTGAGAGACTACAATTGCCGTCTCTCTCAATTACGATATCATAATGTAAAAAAAAGTGTATTTCTAGTCGTTAATATGTAAAGCAAAATCTAAATTGTATTATTTACGCATATTATGTAAGTATGATGATGGTGTAAGTGTTTCAACAAGAATTTTATGCGTTTGTTACAGTTAGCTGTCTGATAAGGTAGGACCTTCAATACAAATGCCATACAGTTTATAGCTATTTTGTTTCAATCCTGTTTAATAGCATTTCAGTCTTAGTTGAGGACCTCAACATTTTACCATGGCTTGTAACCTAATAATCTATGTTCCACTCATCCAGACATAATCTGTCTTTTGTTGTAGTATTATGACGCGATGGTAGGTAATTCTTAACATTATTTTATTCAGTGTGTGATAGATAAGATTTTGTGATGAAAAATGGACGAAACTTCATTTTGTCCATGATACTAAGTTACTGCATGCAAAACTACAATAAAACCAACTTTTTTATTTATTTAGTGTTTATTGTGTTGATACAGTAATACGGATTCCTAACCCAAACAAAGAAAATTTAAACAATGCAAGATTTTACCCATTAATGTGTTTAAACTATTACCTTGTTTACACAAGGTTGGAATTTGCAAATAAAATTATAATCATTATCTTTATATAACATAATAACATCAATTCTTTAATTAAAAGCTAAGCCTTAAAACTAAGATTCACCATATGGTCCGGTCTACACATGGTAATGAAATAGTGAAATTTAATAAGAAATTAGAAAAATCCATAGACGTTTTCATCAGAGAATGCTATATATAGAAAGAAGTCTTCGTCATGGTGCTCCTGGTAAAGCGAGCCCATGGTGGCCGAGGTGGGAGGAATGACGTTGTTGACAAAGAAGAACAACGCGTCCTCAGGCCGCAGGTGAATGCGCTTCCTGATCAAGAAGTAGAACTGCCCGACAGTCAGATCCGATGGCACTAGATACTTCTTCTTGTCGAGGTCTCCGAGCCGAGCCTTGGGTGCTTTCTCCACAATGACAGGGACGCGATCGGGATACTTCCTGCGTATTTTCTCACCTTCAGTCTTCCTTTTTTCAAATGAATGCTCTTCCTTATATTGGAATTTCATTTTGAATCTTTATTCACACTGGAATTTGCGAAGTGATCACAATACAGCCAAATTCGATATTGCGACTTGTTTTTTGTTTTTGCGTTATTGTCTAATGTCTATAAATGCAATGACGCAATCAGCTGATATGACAATGACAACGACGCTTTTAGTTGCCCCACTACATAGCCACAAAAGCAAACAACCAATGATGATTGATTTTTTTCATCAATTTTCATATGGCAATCTGCACGGTAAATAGATTTTGATAGAGTTATGGGTTAGGCCGTGTGAGTAAAAGAGAGCAAAAACGTCAAGACTCAAAAGGAACGCAATTCATTTTAAATGGCAACTCTTCAAATAGAAGCTATCTAGTGTTGTCTGCAATATATCGATTAATATTATTTGTGGTAAGCTATCACAAATAAAAATTAATTTCTTCCGAATCTCATTATTCCGAATAGCGTCATCATGTCAACTTAATTTCATTAGCGTGACGACTGTTTTTGGCATCCATTTTTAACGCGGAAATATTTTACAGTTTATTTTTCATCCAAGTAATGTAAATTTCTGATTATTAGTTTCAAGAAAATTTTTATTCTTAGCTGAATTTGTGACTGAAACAAATCAGCAGAAGAATTTAATTAGTCAATGTTTGTAACATTAACAAGCAGCCTTTTTGTCCATCATAATTATGCTATTTTTTGTGATACTAATTGATGGGACGAACAAGTCGTGCGCCTGGTGTTCAACGATACTCCTATCCATAACAGTCACCGTACTGCTCAGAGCTTTAAATCACAAAGATCTGAAGTACATACTTTGCCACTGCGCCTGTCACCCTGAGACATAAGTTGACAAGTCTTATGTGCATGTAATTTTACCAGAACCCTTACCCTTCAAAACCAAGCATTCCTCGCATTACTGCTTGGCGGCAGAAATGGGTAGGTAGTATTTATTAAAGAAACTCTTTCACATGGAGCTCTACTGCTGCTAAAATATATATTATGATAATAATAATATATTATGATGCTGTAAAAAGAATTTATCACGTGAATTTATTAATAGCTTCATGAACTTACATGTCTCATGTTTATACTTATTTTATGACTTTATTTATGACTTTTTTACAAAAACGGATAGTCAAACTTATGAACTGAACTCAGTTTCCAAAGCGTATAACAGATTTAAAGTTGTTATGACAAAACAATACAGGTTACTAAAAACACCGACCTCAAAAGTCATTCATCCCCTAGTTTGCCTCCCTTAGAGGTGGAATATTTTCTTCAAATTTAAATGCGACCACATCTGAGGTACCCTCTTTCCAACAATAAAGGAATCATCAAAATCGGTTTATAAGTCCGGAGTTATAGCGTAAAGTACATACATAAAAAAAACTACTGTCGAATTGAGAACCTCCTCCTTCTTTTTTTTGAAGTCGGTTAAAAATAATTGAATCACAAGGTGGAGGTTGGAGCAGGGCGCGCCATCCATTCGTTATAGATTTCAAAATAATTTGTATTGCTCACACTTTAAGTCAAGTTTTCAATATTCTATTTTGATAGTCGGATGATGAGGCCTTAAACCTACTAAATAAATACTAAATAATTTAGTTTTTCAAAAAGTGCAAAACTGCTTATTTTATTATATTAATACCTAATTTGTAGTATATTGTATTTGAGTCGAGTATTATTTGTAATCGATTCAAAAGCTCGCGCGCAACCCTAAATTGTCTTGCTTTGCTTCGAGAAGCGTTCGTTTGCTTGCTTCTCAAGTTTTGGTGGAAATCATTGTTTTTGAGCGGCGTGTGTGGTGTATTTTATATTTCAGTGTTTAAATTAAACCTTCAAATATGCGCAAACGTAAGTCTCTTAAGAAAGATGAAGACTCCGAGGGATCTGAACCCGCTGGGGAACCTGAAGAATTTCAAGATTCAGGGGAAGATTGGACGCCGGATGCCGATTCGGTAATGTGTTCACTTTGAGCAGTCTGTTATTATATCTAAGCAGTAAATTAACAGCCCCATGCACCTATCATACAACGATTTGTACATATATTTCACTTCTTTAGCGCGTGACGCTATTGTGAAAGCGTTATTTGGTATGTTTAGGTTAGGTTGACTTAAAACAATGGCGATTATTTCTTGTCTTTTACTATTATGCCTTTTCTCGCATATTTTTTGTATTTTATGGATATCTACTTTAATTTTGTGATTTTATTTAAACCTAGAATGAACAGCCGGTCCGCGGCAGCGGTGGGCGCAAGCGCACATCAAAGGCTGCCATGAACAACTCTAATAAAAAGAAACGCAAGGAAGAATCCTCAGAGGATAGCGAGGGTGAGGGAGAGGATGACGAGGAGGCAGAGGACGAGGAGGGTGACCTCGACGAAGAGGAAGGTTCTGATGATGAAAAAAATGGATCCGACGGCAATAAATCTGACTCAAGTCAGTCCAAGGATGTACCAAAGCACTTCCATGTAAGTTTACATTTGTAATACCTACTTAATTTTATTTTGAGTATAAAAGTAAGAATGTGGAAGGTATAATAACTATATTTTGTTATGAATGTTTTGATGGTCATTTTTTAATATATTCACATCGCTTTGACATTATAGTTATCAATTTACAGTACAATTTTCAAAAATCCAAATTTTGAAGCTATTTAGCTTTTACAGTTTTTTTATAATTTTTTTATTTTTAATAGACAAGATATTTTCTGCAATAGTATATATTTCTCTTAAAAATACATGTCAGTATTAGACTATTGTTACCAGCATAACAAATCAATAAAATATACAATAGTTTACCTTAACAGTTATGATATAAGCTTGAAAGATATATTACCGGGTTAAACTGTTTATCTTTTATATTATATTGCCTACTTCTGTAAAACTCTAATGTCATTGAAGCTTGGTGTTTAAAACAGCGCTGTACTGTAAAAACATATTACACCACACTTCTTGCAGTTTGCAACTTGCTATCTATTGTTATAGCTATTGCTCATCTAATGCACCAGTCAAATGAAGCTTTATAAAATAGCTTGTTATGCTTTGTACATTTTATACATTGTAAATATTTTATGATCTCTTCAGTCCGGGAACTTTGTATTGCTGAAATCTGATGTGAAATGGGATGGAGACACAGTGATTTCAAAGTTGGATGAACTGAATTTGTGGAAAATTGATGGAAAGGCCCTGCTACAGAAATTCATTCCCATGGAGTCAAATGGAAAAATTTTACACAAATGCACCTGTGTGGTAAGATATCACTCATTTTACATTTACATTATTTTACATATACATGTGAAATGTTCATTTACAATTCGAAGTAAAGAATAAAAATATATGTACAATATTTAATTTTAATGCTTGTGATACAGATTCAAGTTGCCATCAAAATATGTTAACAAATTCTCAAGGTTGTACTATTTCTTTTCAGTACTCTGGATGGAATGTGGACAACCGAGATAACTACTATCCCATCACTGAGATCCTGGATAGGAATCCTCGCACCGATTCTAAGGAAATTTGTGTAGCATTAGACCTTGATGACCTTATCAAAGTAAGAGACAAGTAAACACATTGCTTTTACCACTTAATAAATTCAATTAGTTAAGATACTACAACCTTATACATAGCGTTTTCTTTGGCATTTCATTCCATATTACTTTTATGTAATTCAAACAATTTGTAAAAAAATAATATAATAAATAAAATGGGAAATAAATGTTCAGTGAAATAATCTTTATAGGCTGTTTTATTTTTATTGTAGATTGTAGTATGTGTCAAATCAAATAGAGATTTGATGTTTAATTTACCCTAGTGATCTGCGTCATGGCTATATTCCTAATAAGCACCTCCAAATATCTCGAAAACAATACCCAACTTGCCATTATTCGAAAAATCATGTCCGCCATCGTGGATTTAGAAATAAGTGCTGTATTCGTTATGAACACCCCCAAAATACGTCGAAAATAATACCCATATTGCATTTGTTCGAAAAGTCGTGTCCGCCATCTTGGATTTAGAAATAAATGCTATATTCGTAATGAGCATCCCCAAATATTTCGAAAACAATACCCAACTTGCTATTATTATTCGAAAAGTTGTGCCCGCCATATTGGATTTAGAAGTAAGTGCCATATTCGGAATGAACACTGCCAAATACCTTGAAAACGACATGTTGGGTAAACATGGCATTGTTTGAAAAGTTGTGTCAAAAGTTTGAAAAGTCGAGTACAATTACAACTTTAGTAACCTCTTTTAGTTCCTGAGATAATTTTTGTTCTAATCTAATTCTAATCGTGATGGTTCCCGAACAGAAGTATGGCTTCGAATAGATGATCATCGACCACGACTTTGGTGAGCATCACAGGTACTTGAACGGGTACTGTTAGAAGATCGACCAAGACTGGATGATAGAAGTGATTGTGGAGAATTCGGAACCCTCTGAAAAACGACTGGTCTGGGCTGGTTCTCCGGTCTCTGGAGGACGGACGGACTTGGGTATGGACTCGCTGGGGTTTGTGGTTAGCTGCAGAGACGGACATGTTTATCTGCTCCGGTTGGGTGTGCACATGTGTGCTGTCTCGTGAGCAGCTAGCGCGTCTTAGTAACGATCTAGTTGAGGGCCTGAAGCGAGGAGACGCGTGGGGCACGTGAGTTGCCCTTTAAGTTGGAAGCTGTGTCTGGACATTGTCGCAGGCACTAGCCCGGAGAGCTAGTAGAGGATAAGCTAGATATCCTCCGGTCCCTCCAGCCGCTTAGGTTATTGGGAATTGGAGAGACGTTACTTTTTCGGCGTCGGGAAGTGAGCGTGCCTTACAGGTCCGCCACCAATGAGGAGATTTGGTAGTGGACACAGAGTCCACTGCTTAGCGGTGACAACCGCCCGTTGTGCAATGCGCAACGGGAAGTGAGCGTGCCTATAGCTCTGGTACCTATCTGGAAAATAGGGAGGCTTTAGAAGGCCTCATACTCCTTTCTAACGCTCGCTGGAGTTTCCATGGAGGATCGGCTCTGACATTTGGGTGACTGCGACTTGTGAGCAGTTACGTGCGAACGTACGTTCTACGTTATCTACCAGTGGTCTACGTTATCTATCACCCGCTCCAGCGGCATATGGTGATCGCCCCGCACCTTTTAACAATGATTTGGTCTCCATCATTGCTGAATTGCAGGCACTCAGCGAGCAAGTGACGGCTTTGTCTACACGCCATTTGCGATCAAGATCCAGTTCTCGCCGATCTTGCCCTAGACCAAGGTCCGCTATGCCTCACGGCTTGTGCTGGTACCACCATCGGTACCAGGGCAAAGCTGTCAAATGTGTCCGGCCGTGCTCCTGGTCAGATCCAATTCTGGAAAACCAAGGGAGCAGTCAGCGGTCATGGCGACAGCTGACTGCAGCCAATTCACTGGTCGCCGTCTGTTTGTCACTGACAAGGTAACCAAATTTAAATTCTTGCTTCACACCGGTTCCGACCTTTCCTGTTTCCCTCGGAAACTTCTGTCGACTCAATGCAAAGTTTCCGATTATACTCTTAGTGCCGCCAATGGCACCAATATAAAAACATATGGCAGTCGCACATTTTCATTAAATCTTGGTCTCAGTCGCGAATTCAGATGGAATTTCACTATTGAAGACGTCGAGACAGCAATCATTGGCTCCGATTTTCTAGCCTATTTCAATCTACTCCCGGGCTGCCGCAACAAACTGTTACGAGATGGTTCTACCAGGCTTTATGTTCCTGCCTCCATCTGTAACAAGTCAACTCAGTGTTAAGGCTGTGGTTTCTGACAATGAATTTGCACGCCTCCTTTTAGACTTCCCAGAAATCACCAAACCGCCTGGTCTTCCGAGAGTCGTCAAGCACAACACTCTGCATTACATCAAAACCACAGATGGCCCACCAGTTTCTTGCCGGCCCCGTCGTTTGGCCCCTTAAAAACTGGCAGACGCTAAAAAAGAAATTAAAGAGATGGTGCGCTCCGGTACTGAAGGCCTTCAGATAGCCAGTGCTCGTCTCCGTTGCACTTGACCTTGAAAAATGACAGCACCTGGCGCCCTTGCGGCGATTATCGCAGTCTGAATGCCAGGACCATTCCGGATCGTTACCATGTGAGGCATATTCATGACTTTGCTAACAGCCTCAGCGGAGCCACCGTTTTCAGCACCCTTGACCTGGTAAAGGCTTATCATCAAATTCCTGTGGTACAAGAGGACATTCCCAAGACAGCTATTACCAGTCCATTTGGCCTCTTCGAATTCCCATTCATGACCTTCGGTTTGAGGAATGCGAGTCAAACCTTTCAAAGGTTCATCGATGAGGTCACACGGGGTTTGGATTTCTGTTTTCCTTATGTGGACGATATCCTCATCTTCTCTAAGGACGAGGCTCTCCACAAGGACCTGCGGACTCTTTTCCAACGCCTTCATGATTATGGTGTTGTTTTGAACCCTTCCAAGTGCAATTTTGGAGTAAGAGACGCCCGATTTTTGGGTTACATTGTAACTCCCGATGGCACTCGCCCTCCGCAAGAACGAATCCAAATCCTACTGGATTTTCCTCCTCCCAAAACCGTACAGGGTATGCGCCGTTTTCTGGGCATGTTAAATTTTTATAGACGTTTTATTCCTCAGGCTGCTAAATTTCAGGCTCCCTTAATTGACGCTGTCGTCTCTACCAATGGTAAAGGCACTAAACCATTCTCATGTACGCCGGAGCTTCTTGAGCATTTCGAAGCCTGTAAAGCCAGCCTATCTAGTGCCACGTTATTGCAACACCCGATCATGGATGCACCCCTTGGATTATTTACCGATGCATCAAGTGTCCATGTTGGTGCTTGCCTTCAGCAACAGGTGGACGGTGCCTGGAATCCCCTCGCTTTCCTCAGCAGGAAATTGACTTCTCGGCAAGCTCAGTGGCCTGCTTATTATCGGGAATTGCTGGCGGTGTACGAAAGCGTACAACATTTTCGCCACATTCTCGAAGCGCTACACGTGACTATATATACTGGCCATAAGCCACTGCTGTACGCCTTCGTACAACGTCGTGAAAAATTACCTCCATCGCAACTGAACCAGCTATCTTTTATTAGTCAATTTTCAACTGACATTCAATATGTTAGGGGTGAAGATAACGTCGTCGCGGACACTTTATCCCGCATCGAGGCGATTTCACTCGAAGACGGTTTCGCCGCACTAGCTCAGTCTCAAATGTCTGACATAGAGTTGGCGAAAATGCAAGAAGGATCGGCCTTGAAATTGGAACAGGTTGTGATCCCGGGCACCAACATCACTCTAATATGTGATACCTCAACCGGTCGCCATCGACCTTATCTCACTTCGCCGTTCCGTCAAGTTGCTTTCGACCGTTGCCATAACCTCAGCCACCCTGGTGCTCGGGCATCTTTACGCTTGGTAGCAAGTCGCTACGTATGGCCTAACATCAACAAAGATTGTCGCGAGTGGGCACGTTGCTGTATTTAGTGCCAGAGAAGCAAGGTATCGCGACATGTTAAATCACATGTTGGTCGATTTGATTAACCTATCAGTCGATTCCGTCATCTGCACATCGACATCATCGGCCCACTTCCATGTTCTAACGGTTTCAGTTATTGTTTGACCGCCATAGACCGTTATACACGGTGGCCGGAGGCTTGGCCGATGGTGACGATAACTGCAGAAGAAGTTTCCGATAAACTAGTGTCAGGATGGATTGCCCGTTTCGGTGTTTCTAGCATCGTCACCACCGATTAGGGGCGTCAATTTGAATCGGCGCTATTTCGGCGACTCATGGATTTCTGCGGAGCGAAAAGAATCCGCACCACTAGTTATCATCCTTTAGACGCCGCCTATTATCACCGGCTGGCTGTGGCAGTCTCTTTGGACGAGAGTCGCCAAGGAGAGTGTCAAACTTGCTGGAAATATTTGATAGTTTACAGGTACGTAAATGGTCATGTCAGCGATTGCAAATTGTTTGTCCGGGTTTGATATAAAGATTTTGTAAAGACCACGAAACATAATTATATCGCCATTCACGAAGTTCACGAGGCCGTTTTATTGTTCGTTAGGGAAGCGATAAATTCCCCAAAAACCGATAGCTCAACCCAAATTGTAATGGTAACACTGACCCCAGTGTGAAATGTCAAAACAAAAAGAGAATTTCTCGTAAAAATCGTTTGACTTTGTTTTGACTGAATTAGAATCAAATGAAGTTGATCATAATAATAAACTTTCTTCTTGGAGTTCTTGTAAAACAAATAATTAATATTATCTGTAATTTTTCGTTACAATAATTATTATACAAGTGTGGTAACAACTTAAATTGGGTCAATCGATGAGTACTGTATCGCGAACATTAAACTATTCGTCGAAAGTGTCGTGTCTTTTTCTGTTAATTACACGAACATGAGCAGTGAAAGCGTTGAACGTGAGTACACTGTCGGCTTTATTCGTTTTCCATAAGTGACACTCTTAAAGAATTGGCAATGAACGCCTGTCTCTAATGCACTCAAAGTCTGTAATGCACTTAAGAAATAAATATGTTTGAATGTCTAATAAAATGACTAAGGTCGACACTACACTCCATTTATAGTAGCTGTGTATTTATGTTATGCCTTGTTTTTCTCATTTAGGTCTTTCAATATTGTAATCAGCATTATCAGCTGTTGTTTATTATAGGCCTCCTTTAAAAAATATTGAATTAGGCATTTAGAATTTCAATCTATGTTTTAAGATCATTTATTGTAGTGAATGAGCTTGAGGCTTGCATAGTTGTGTTTTTTTAGGTGCAGAGAGAGACTGTGCTGTGTGTCTTCAGAAATGTCACTACCCCACTCAACTGCCATGTGGCCACATATTTTGTTTTTTATGTGTAAAGGTAAAGATTTATTTTATAGTAAAATATTTGTGTAAAGCAAGTATTTGTGTTTGCTAATAAAAAAATCTTTTTAAATGTTTTATTCTTAGGACTTGGGACAGTCTGCTGGCAATGATTGTGAGTTAATAATAATAAATTAAACATTGCTATCGGATTGATTAATCCTAGTGATTGTAGGAATTTATGTTGTATTGCAAAGCTGGACAAGCCCTAAGAGCTCCAGTTGATATTATTGCATTAAGAAATTCTTTAAGTATATAATTTTGATATGAATCTGTATATATTATATCCATTTACATGAGTAGTTTATTTAGTAATTCTTAAAGAACATATGCTTCTTCCATAATTCAGGGAGTAGCAATTCAAAGCAAAAAATGTGCAATGTGCAGAGCAGAGATTCCTCCGGACTACTTAGACCATCCTGTTGTATTGGAGAAGATATCTCCTGAACAGATAAATATAGAACCGAATGGAGGGTACCAGTGGTATTATGAGGGTCGAAATGGTAAGCAACATATCTCTAGGGCCGCTTCAAATTATACATTTGTAGCCAATGCAGTGCTTCTCTAAGCATCTAATTTGAAGGCACCCTAAATCTGCAAAGTTATAGTGTATATAAAACCTATTATGAGTTTTGAAATAAAATAAGAAATATTGATAACGATTTAATTAAAAACAAATCTACTACCTAAATGAATTTTTGTGTTCTACCGTAATTCATAACTTGATGCTCCTTTAAAAGGTGTGTCTATTACACAATAACATTTTAGGAATTAAGTCACATCTTAAATTGTACAGGTTGGTGGAAATATGATGAGCGCAGTAATAGTGAGTTAGAGGCTGCCTTCAATTCTGGTGAGACAGCATGCAAGTTGCTGCTGGCTGGAGCTTTGTACTGTATAGATTTCCAGAATATGGTGCAGGTGCATAGTAGAAATCATACTAAACGTCGCCATGTCAAGAGGGACACGCCCACACTACCTGCAAAGGGTAATGCAATTGTGTATTTTCCTAATAAGTGCTTGTATAGCTATAAGTGCCTCTCTTAACTCTTAATTTGCGGTTACCGCGGATCCGAGACAGACCTATTTCCGGTTCTTATGGATGGCTAATTAACTTCCGCAACGTAAGAGTTAATTTATCTGACATGTCCTAAAGGTTTAATTATTAATTAGAATTTTTCCATGTATACACATCTATTTTTTGACTTAACTAAATGGGCCTAAAACAAATAACATCAGAAGTTTACTCAAATAAAAAATGTGAAATGAATATTTTAAAATAAATTCTAGGAATCGCTGGTATTAAAATCACAAGCCCGAGTAAAGAACAAGTAAAGGCTGATCATGACCGAAGTCCATCAAATATTGAACAAAGTGATACAGATGTGACACAAATAATGCACGATGCTAATAGCCATAATGCAGATGAAGGACCTGAGATTACAACAAACCAACAACATCATTTGGAGCAATTAGTTCGCACAATAAGGTGAATGATTTCCTAAATTATAATTTACAATATAAATAAGAGCAGTTATGCATGATGAGTACAGCAGTAGAGCGACACAAACGATTGAAACAACCAATTGCGTTGCGCCACTTGCGATTTATAAGCATCCAAGCAGCCGCTTATGTTGACACATTAAAACAGGTGATTGCGTTTGTTTCCCGATTGTATCACTGTTTAAAGTATTAAGTGTGTGTAAAGGTAGATGATTAGCGACTGAATTGCTGCAGACAAGCTGCTTAAAGCCGCTCTAAATGTTTTCAGTTTCAGTTTATAATACATAGTTTCAAATTTGAAATGTATTGTGTAATGATGGTATGAAAGGTATTAAATTATATACCTATTTAGGCTGAGTGATGGATGTGATGAAAGGGTTTGTGAATTTATTTTCTGTTGTTACAGTTCTATGGAGTTACAAGATGAAGAGGAAAATGTTTCAACAGTTCAAAACACATGACTGTAGGGGTTACACTGTCATTTAATGTTGATTTTATATTATATCCTTTTATACAATACAAAATTATGTATATTATACTATAATAAAGTTGTATTATGCTTATATACTGTCTTATTTATTTAATATCAGGTGGATTGTCAATTCTACACTGAAGAGGAACAGTGTTTTTTAATTTTATATTTTACAGTGCACGCTGTGAAAATTTTACAATTGAATTTTTTCACAGATTTTTTCAATTTGTTTTGAAAAGGACTGAAATGTCCGGGCGCTTATGTCGGCCTCATAATATATATATTTATCCTGCTTTATCTGTCACTACAGATTGAAATTCAAAATTTCGGCTTTTAGAATTGTATTTTTTGGTGGTTTTAAAATCTGTGCATATTGATTAACAGCCAAGTACTTGGTGTAACGGGCTGGTGTCCCCAAATCGACGTCAAGGTGCCTATTTTGATTCTGTTAATAGTAGATTGCTGATTTTGAGTGAATGTCAAGGAAGGTTTGCTCACTGTGCTTTGATTGTAATAAAATCTAAAGATACAAAAATAGTATGAAAAAATTAAGAAAGGTTAAAAAAGCGTATTCAATATTCTAAGTAACTACCTATATTATATTTAACTGCCTCCGTGGCCTATCGGTTACCATGTCGGGCTGCCACTCAGAGGTCACAGGTTCGATTCCCAGGCCAGGAGAAATATTTGTATGGCCTACATTTATTTATCTCATGGGTTTGGGTGTAATTTGCGTTTGTCTATGTGTGTGTCCATAGCACCTGCGACACAGGGTTTCCTTAATGCTATGTTGAGTGTGTGCATTATATATTATATTATTTATAAAACAGTTAGTGCAGTTAACATAAGTTATTTGGACAAAAGTGTATAAAATAACAAATGAAAAATTGTCACATGAACTTTTATTATATACTATAAAATAACGAAGACATAATCTACATAGGTAACAATTGCATTAATTGGATCACCATTGCCTCACTGGGCTTTGGCTGGCATGTGTCAAGATCCAGGTATTATGAGGTTTCTTCCACATCGCTTTCTGTTTATGACGAGGATGTTTTGAGCAGATTACATGCATTCTCCCATCCCTCACTACAAAATAACAATCTTTACACCGCCTAGTTACCCGACCTCGAATTTTAAATCCGCATGTTGAGTTTATCATAGGAATTGTAGGTAATAATATCATCTTTTTACTATCATTATTCTGAAATGTACTAAACATCGGTGGTATCAGTTTTGTAGTTAATGCAGGTGCAAGTAAATTTCTGGCCGAAAAGGCTGCACTAATCGTGGATAAAGTCCTTGTCAGTGAGAAGAATTTCTGCATTTCACTGAAAGAAAACAATACCTATTATACTTAAGCAATACTCTTGTTGTACAAGTTATATTTTAAAAATTTAGTTGGGGCACACTTACGTAAGAAAAAATTGTAAAACTTTACCTATAATACGTTTCAGTATACATAGAAAAAAGGGAATCTATCTTTAGTATATTAAAATATTGTTGGTTAGGTTTTGAGAAGTACAGTGTTGAGTTGTCGATATACGAAGCAACTCGTTTGTACCACTTGCTTGGTTAGTTTGTCACAATCACAATTTTTTTTTAAATTTTTTAAGGCTCTGGCAAAGCCATAAGCCTAAACATGAAGTTTAATTATGTTTCTGTAAATATGGCCGCCACAAAGAGGAAGGCAATTTGAGGCGGCGTGCTTGGATTGACTCGGGATTCCTTAAAACGGGCCGATACGGGTATTCTAGTTCGAGATTCGTATAATTTCGCGTTTTAATCTTCGATTAAGGCACAATAGCACTATCCTATTCCACTTTAAACTAGATTTCACAAAATAATTGAAAATCAAAATAAAAACGAAACTTTTCCCTCCAAAAGGTCTAGAGCGAATCCTCACAATTACAATGTTTTTTTTTTAAATTATTGCTGGCCATGGAAACAAAGTCCTTCAGCCGAAAACATAAACGTTTAATTATATTTCTGTAAATATGGCCACCACAAAGAGAATAGGCAATTTGAGGCGGCGTGGTTGGATTGACTCGGGATTCCTTAGGACGGGCCGATACGGGTATTTTAGTTCGAGATTCGTATAATTTCGCGTTTTAATCTTCGATTAAGGCACAATATAACACTATCCTATTCCACTTTAAACTAGATTTCACAAAATAATTGAAAGTCAAAATAAAAACGACACTTTTCCTTCCAAAAGGCCCAGAGCGAATCACAATCACAATGTCACAACCAGTGTTGCCATATGGTAAACCAAAAAATCTGTAACGCAAAGTCTAAAAACCTGTATAAGATCAATAAGCCAAAATTTGTATGAAATCTGTAAACAGGAAATAATAAACCCAATAAGTTTATGTCAGTTTATTAAAATAAATTGTTTTTTTAATAGAAAAAATGACAGATACATATTTATAGATGCAGATTACAGATATATATTTATTTATTTTTATACATATTTTTATTAATTTTTCTTATTAAATTGTTATCTACATTTAGCTTGTAGCATGGCTCATTATTTAATAATTGTTTTGTTAATAATAGTCCCTCTGTTGTCTCAGTGCCTAAATGATTGCGAATTTAGTTTTAATTAAATTTGTTGAGGAAAATATTCTTTCAACAGTGGTACTGGAGTGAGGAAGGCTTATTAAAGCGATAACTAGTTGTTTCAGAGTTGGATAAAGCAAATTTCCGTCACAGTCTTGTGCACCAAAAACTTGTTGCCAAAAAATTTCAGGATCTTCTTCAATGGACTCCAAGAGATTATCGTTCATTCTTAAATGACGCCACTCATTATCTAATGTCTGTAAATTTTCATGTCGAATTACGTTAGGAAAACCTTGTGCAACTTGACCCAATGCGATTATTCGGCATTTAATAGTAATGGGATTAAGAAAATCTAACCTTTTTGTGATTTCATTGCCAAAATTGTAACGGGCCTTAATTTTAGCTCCTTCTATAAAAAAAACCGAGACATCGTAATTTGAACAATTTTATATCACTGGGATTCAAGTTTGGAGCGGATAAAGACGTGGCAACATTTATATCAAGATTAAGTTCTTCGATTGGTTTGTAGTGTCGTGGATTATCAGGCTGTATGTTTTGGATTTCTGTTCGTGACAAGTATGAACTAATATCCAATATCCAAATAGAATCCATGTAACAATCCAGAAGAGTTTTATAAGTATTGCTTAAATTTTCTTGTAACGAATGTATTTGCGGTTTTTCTGACTGCATCGTTTTATTCAATTTGGTAAAATAATCCAAGACAAATTTCATAAATTGCAAATACAGTTTGTTATATGGATGTTGAGCATCGGTAAAATAGAGTCCGCTGAGTTCAGACGGTCTGTAAAGGCGGTATCAGTAAAAAATAATTTTAATGCTTCATATTGTTCCAAAACACGCATTACTGCAGAACGCAGTGAGAGCCATCTTGTCTGGCACGGATGTAAAAGTTTATGGGGCTTGATTGTAAGAAACTCTTGTAGTTCTCTTAATACTCCTGACCGTTTTGGACTCGTACTAATATAATTGAAGACGTCACTCACCAGGCCTTCAGGTTCCCTTGGTAGCTTTGCGCAAGCGTACGATGCACATAACGCAAACGAGTGACAAATGCATTTCATGACATATAGATTGGGTACCTATATCTAAAAGTAATCTACTTACTACAGAGTTATGCTGTCCGAATATGGCATTTGCCCCATCAGCGGCAAATCCAATCATAATCTTTATAGGGAATATTATTACCCGTAAATAATTTGACTAGATGCTCATAAAGTTTTTCGCCAGTAGCATCTTGAACGGGTACTAGTCCCAGAAGCGCATCGCTTACTTTTTTATTTTTATGATATCTAACGACTGCACATAACAGTTTCACACTTCCCCATATCCGCACTTTCATCAATCAAAAGTGAGAATTTGATGGTT